TTTTATAACAACCATATGAAATAGGTAGTCCCCATTTTATAAATTAGGAAATTGAAGATAAACAAATTAAAATACTCTATAGCCCATGTAAAAGACAGATCTGGAATTCACACAGAAGCTGCCTGATTTTAAGGTTTACAGTCTTCACAATCACATGATTTCATCTCTTCCTCAGCCCATGGTAGAAAAGTACAGAATTAATAAATTCCTATATTTGAAAGAGATCTTAAGTGAGTTATTTAATTTACCACCCTCTTTAGTATCCCTGATAAAAAGAACAACAGGGATATTTCCAGTGCTGGAACCTCTCATTTTGGGGATAGTTCATTTCATTATTGGGCCACTGTGATGGATAAAAAGATCTTTCTGACTCCAAAATGACAGCGTAAAGATGTTTCTGACCTCTTTCTCCTCTAAAATTCACCAGTCAACAAGAAGCAGAAAGAGAAATTCTAACATCAGAAAACCAGAAGAATTGAATCCAAAAATCTCAAACTACAGTGGATGAGGACTAGAACAAAAGACGTAATGGTAAATGACTCATCAGAAACAGTGCTCTTCACAGGAATGGGGTGTGTAGCAGTGGGAAAGGCGACCAGTGAGACACACTTAATTTGCCTGGTGGACTCCAAAAGACCTAAGGAATTGGAGGTTAATACTCAGCAAGTGGAGATACTACTGAAAGTGGTAGTAAGGCAGGAGACTATAAATAGGATGGTTAGGAGAAGGAACAGTTAGAATGAAGGATACCCAATCTCACCCCACAAAATAAAATCTTTTTCAGGATACCTGAGGATTGTTCTCTGGAGAAGCTTAACCAGAAAGTCCCTGGACTCAGGAATATAAGGCCCAGAGGAGGACAGAGGCAAGGAACAATGACAAAAAGGGAAGGAGGCTGAAGACATGAGTCTCCAGATTTAAAAAACCATTAAGTATCCGACATAATAAGTGAAAAAAGAACCACGTCAAATTTTGTCACTGTGAAACTTCAGAACATGAAGGATAAAGAGAAGTTCCTAAAAGGTTCCAGAGAGGTAAAAAGAAATAGATCATACGCAAAGGATCAGAAATAAGAATGACCTTTTTTAAAGAAAAAAATTGAAAGCTAAAAGATGGGGAAAATGTCCTAAAATTTTTTATAGAAATGATTTTCAACCTAAAAGTTTACAGCCAGCCAAATTATCAATCAAGGAAGTAAGGGTAGCAAAAAGACATTTCAGACACACACAGTTTTCCATAAATGCTTTCTCAGGAAGCCACTAGAGGATGTGTTCCACTAAATGAGGAAGTAAACAAAGAAAGAGGAAGAATGGGAACCAGGGAACAGGAGAGAGATGAAGGGAATCCCCAGGATAACAGCAGGAGAAGTGCCATGACCACAGCTGTGCAGCAGGCCTAGAAAGCCACCAGACCAGGCTGGAGCAGGAGGTCAAAGCTCCGAGGATGTTCATATATGGGGATGATATCTCCAGGAAAATACTGGGATGTATAAATTGTCTGATAGATTTGAGCTTGCAGAAAATCACATAGAGAGATATTTTATAGGGCTTGTATGGTTTAGGAAGAGAGTGCATTCACAATACTAAGCAAATGAAAAGAAAATGTTATCATTAATTCCAGGAAAAACAAAAAGTTGCACAAGAATGGAATTATAATCACAGTGCTCTACCTGGTTTAGCAGTGAACATTATTTCAATAATGAAAACACACAAGATGAATTAAAAATTGAAATGTGATTTTACTGGGAAAAAGAAGAGAGGAAGGGGAGTGTAAATAATAAATATCTTTAACTATTATTACAAGAAAACCATACGTAATGTCAAAAATTGAAGAATTGACAGACAACAATATAAGCATTTTATTTACAAATGAGAAAGTAAATCCCAGAAGAAATAGCTACAAAAGTTTAAGGTTATTACCTCTGGAGAGAATAAGTTTGGGGGATGGATGGGGGACAAAGGATTGTTTCTTGTGATAAGCTTTTCAGCATCATTTAACTTTTTAAACTACAAGGGGTCTTCAAAAAATTCATGGAAGGATTTGTATTATCTTGTAATTCAATTTTTTCATGAAATCTTTGAAGTACCCTTATATTTTCCTTCAATATTTTCATAAAAATTGAAATCTTATTTTCAAAAAAAAAATTTATTCCTTACAATAGCTCCAAGGCTTAGAAGTGTAAATTTTGCTCTCTTAAGGTTGATTTTACAACAAAACACCAAGCTCTATTAATTTGTCTTTATTAACCTGCTTCAGTTTTTTGGGCCCCTATTGGGCCACAAATGGATTTTTGGGAGACACAATTTTGTGCATTTGTATTCATTATATTCAATTGTAATTGAAAACATTTTAGCCTATTCTGGATCATCTGGGTAGCCACAATGTAACTGTAATTTTGGTGCTTTCACTATAAATCTATTCAATTTAGGGCCAAGAACACTACTTTAATCATTACAGGAAAATGAGAATGAACACTGTCTTAGTCTGTGTAGGCTCCTATAACAAAATATCATAAACTGGCTGGCTTATAAACAATGGAAATTTGTTTCTCACGGTCTGGAGGCTGGGATGCTCAAGATCAAGGCAAAGGCAGTTTTCAGTGTCCAGTGAGGGCCCTCTTCATAGATGGCCACCTTCTCACTGTGACCTCATATGATAGAAGCGGCAAATGGTCTCTCTCAAACCCCTTTTATAAGGACACTAATCCCATTTCTAAGGGCTCCACCCTCATAACCAAATCACCTCGCAAATGCCCCACCTCATAATACCATCACCTTGGGAGTTAGGATTTCAACATATAGATTTGGGTGGGACACAAACATTCAGAGCATAGCAAAGCAGTAAAGAATGCATTAGTTTCAAATGAAGTCCAAATGAAACCACAGCAGGCTATATGAATAAAACGTATGTAATAATTGGAATGAACCAAGTGTTGAGGAAATGGAGTCACTTCTCATAGCACATTGTAGAAGAGTATCATGAACTCAAAAGGATCAGAAATCAGCACCATATTCATGTTGCAAGTAGCAATTTGGGTTCAGTAAAATATTATCTGTCACATAAAAGTAGTGTTATTAATTTGAATTGTATTTATTGGTTTTGTGGGGTTTTAAAATAATATACTTGTACATATTTTTTAATTCATATTGTATAATAACTGTAAGCATAAGAAGCTTATCCCTATTTTCATCTTAGTATATATTGGCACAAATAATAATATAAAAAGTTAGTTCAATCATGGTGAGATTTTTTTCCTTTAAGTTAATTTTAACATTATTTAAGTTATTCTGTTAAAAGAATCTGTACTTTACTTAAATTCAAGAAGCAGTGATTTATTGTTTGGATTTATTGAGAGATCTGATTGGCTCAGTTTGCAACAATCCAGGATGGAATGTCACCCGACCTTTGGCACTCATCAAGTACTCCACAGGTTAACTTAGAAGGAAGTCCTTTTTTATTTCATCGATTTTAACTCTCCAACTTCATCATCAAATGATGCAGTAAACAGCTTCATTGTTTTCATTGCTGAAATTTTATCCTGACCTTTACTTGTTGGGGGCACTCAGCTACATTTAGTTTATGCCTCTATCTCCCCCGAACTCAGAGAAAGGGGTAGGAGAAAGTCTGGGGGTGGCATGTTTTAGTTTCCTTTTGCTACTATTACAATTTACCACAAATTTAGTGGCTTTAAAATAACACACATTTATTATTTTACAGTCTGGAGGTCAAAAATCCAAAATGAGTTTCACTAGCTAAAATCAACAGGTTCCTCTAGAGGCTTTAGGGAAGACTCCACCTCCTTGCCTTTCTCAGCTTCTAGATGCTTCCAGCATTCCTTGATTCATGGGCCCACATCACTCTGATCTATGCTTTGGTCATCAAATCTCTTTTTCTGACTCCAACCCTCCCGCCTTTTTCTCTTATTTAACAAGAACCTTTGTGATTATATTGGGCTTACCCAGATAGATAATCCAGGACAATCTCCCCATCTCAAGGTCCTTAATTACATCTGCCAAGTCCCTTTTGTCATGTAAAGTAACATATTCACACATATTCACAGGTTCCAAGGATTCGGATATGGACATGTTTGGGTGGCATTATTTTACCTGCCACAGGGGGTGCCACTATACCCCACCTGTCCCCAGAGCAGAAACACTGATGGAGGACTCTGCTTTGGAAAAGTGTGGGAGCACATTTTCCAGAAACAGAAAGAAAAGGGGAATGGATGTAAATCAAGAGAGAGGTATTTTATGGTGAAGGAGAAGGAGGCTCTTTCTGAGAAGGATTAAGAAGCATGTTGAGGTTTTGAAAAGTGTGGAAAAGTTGCTGTGGAAGGTGGGAAAGCCACTAACCAAGGAAGAAAAAGGGACGGCTTCCCTAAGGGCTTACCTGAGAAGCAAGCACCTGAGGAAGGCTGATTTGTGGTCACGCCAATTGCCCTGTGCATGAAGATTACACTAAACTCAGTTCCAAACACCCATCGAAATTTTTATTTCAAATTTTAGAAACAAACCAAACAATGACATCAGAATTCAAGTAACTCCACTACCTCCTTTTTGTCATGCCATTGTTTTTCTTTTTCCCTGATTCCTGTAAGAAATCTGACATTAATTAGGCTAGCACAAGAAAGAAAGAAAAAAAAAAGATGAATCATAAACCACACTGGAGATAAACCAAGAAATAATAAAAACCCATCTCTGCCCGAAAGAACAACAGTGGTGAAAAACTGCACTTGCAAAAGGGTTGTATACTCAGAGTTTAAAGTTTTCAAAGGACATGACAGGGAGAGTCTGATAAGATCTACCAGCTGCTTCTCTTTTCTAAAATATTTCCCCTGGTGACAGCTGCAGAAGCTGGGGTGTATTTCTCTCCTGCTGTGTCATGTGAGGTTCCTCTCTCCAGCCCCACCCCCTCCCTCCTGGTGCCTGTTGTGTGTGTGTGCCTGTGTGTGTGTGTGTGTGTGTATTTGGTTTCTCTCTCTCCCCTGTGAGAACACAGCCAGCCTGCCTTCTCCTGCTGATCTGCTGCTCTGACTTGCTTTTTGCTGCCTTTTTCCTCTTCTTTCTCTTCTTGCTTAGCTCCTTGCCTTCTGGTAAGTATGACAAACACTCCCCCAAGCCTTGTGAGAAGATGTAGGGTGCGGTTTGTGGTGTTGGAAACTTGAAGCTTTGAGATTGCCAGTGAACTGTTGAAGAACTTTCCATTGTATTTATACTTAAAATGTGTTGCTCAGGAAGGGATGTGTGTGTGTGTGTGATAGTCTGCTGTGACTAACAGTACAAGTGAAAAATGCACTCTCAGAGGAGGGAAAAACAACAATAAAGTTTACATAAGATAAAATTTAGAAATAATTTCTTTGCTGTAAAATTAATTAATATAAAAGGGATAATTTAAAAGTAACAAAATTCTTTGACTTTTTTTTTTCTTTTTGTTGAGGCTACATTTAGGAATTGAGTTGTCCTGTGGTTTTCAGTGCTCAGTTATTCTGCTTTAAAGTAAATGTGGAACAGGATTTTAAATTAAGTAAAAAAACATCAATGATTATAGCATCTGATGAACGAAGAATAAATCAAATACAAACAAAACACTTGTATTTAGACTACGATTTACAGTAAAACTCCTACAGTCCATTTTAAGTTAATTGCTTTGAAGTTTGGTTTACTTTAGATTTTATTTCATCCTAAGATAGTCTCCCCAACACTGCAAAACCTACATATGGATTTAAATCAGTAACTGTTTGCTGTTTTCAATTTGATTTAAAAATTATCCTCTTGATTTTCAAGGATGAAGGATTCAATGCTATGACTCATTTTAGAATAGCCTAAAATAACTTCTGGCTGGACAGCAGGTGCCATGTGTCTTTCTCTGAGTTTAGGGGAAGCAGAAGTTATATATAGATGAGGGTGCTTAACAAGTAGAGGTCAGGATAAAGAAAAGGCAGCCACAAAGACAATGAAGCTGTTTACTGCATTACTTGATAATCAAATTGGTGAACTAAAATCAATGAAAGAAAAAAGTACTTCCTTCTAAGTTAATGAGTACTTGGTGAGCGCCACAAGTGGACAGCAATGTCTGTAGACTGAATTTTCATACTTGTCGATGTTCAAGCATTTGACCTCTACTGCCCTGAGACCCAGAGGAAGCTGTGCAGTTTGTAGAACAGTAGAACATGTTTTGGTTTTCACTTTCATGCCACCACAACAGCAAACCCTGTGAATGATGAGGATCTAATTAGCAGCATCACCATTCAGTGTTATTTACAAATAAAACGCACCATAACTTAAAAGCCCAAACCAAATCCATTGCAAGCCTTGAAATAGTTATAGCCAGACACCTTGGAAACTTCGACTCAGCTCATCCTTCATCCCGTATTTCCTAAGAGCCCGTATCTGAATTATTTCCCTACTTCCTCCCCCTCCCCCCGTTATTACACATTGCTACTTCTTTAAAATCATTACGTTTTCCTAGAGCTTCTTGACTTAGAAGATAAAGTTGTAATCTGTTTTCTTCTAAAAAGAAAGTCAGTTTTTATATAGGAACAAAAGGATATTATAGAAATTTAAGGAATTGTTTTTATGAACATCATCATGTTTCCACACTTAATCGGTTTATTTATACTTTCCCTCATTCCCTGTCTTATTCCAAAAATGATGCTAGTTTGAACCTCAGAAAAAAAAAATGTTTTGCTAATTGATAATTACATGTTGCTCATCTGGGAAAAAGAAAATACAAGAAAAGCAAGGAATATCTCCTGTATCCAGTATAATAATGTGTTTATATCAAAGTACTCATACTAATCAAATCTTCATTTATGGATCAAAATAGAGTTTAGGGACATTATTGTTATGAATCATTTGAATAAGTTCAATGGCTCTTGTATTAAATATTTGAACTTTGAAAGAAAACTAATACCATTTTAAATTTAGATATTTTAACCATATACATTGGTGTATCTTCAATGATTGTGAATCTACAGATAAGAAAATGATAAAAGTCGGCTAGCCTGAACAAAATGACAAGCAATAGCATGAATTATTCTGTAAATGTCAGTAAGGGGTACTACTAAAAAGTTAAAGATCAAAACCAAAAATATGCTAGTGATATGACTTGATATGGAAAAATAACTTCCCACCGTTCCTACCTTACTAACTATAATATCAATGGTTTCTGAAAATACACTCATTCTGTTGGTACCATAATTAGTTGGTACCCATTTGGGGGATATCCTTACCATTAGTATGTAACTGGGTTAACTACATAAAACCTAACTGTGCTTGCCACTAGATAATACTCCCCGTATGGAGACTGATCACTCTGAACAGCTGTCAACGGAGCAACAGTCAACACCTCCAGGGGACGGTTCATCATTACCTGATCAAAATGGTGTAGAGAAACAAGATGATCAGGATTCCTCAACCCCACTCGAAGCACCAGAGAAAGAGGCAAGCATACACCCTGAAAAGGGAGCTCACGATATCTCTGAAGAGTTGAATCGACAACTGGAAGACATCATACACATGTACGGGTCTGTGGCCAGTACAGGAGGGAAAGAAAGCCTTGCCAAGGCCAAGGAACAGCCTGAGAATGCAGAATCCCCTGACAATGAGGATGGGGACTGTGAAGAGACAACTGAAGAGGCTGAAAGAGAATCTGTTGCTTCTGGAGAGCCATCCACCATCAAAGAGCCTATCAGCAATAGAGAGCAAAAATTGGAAAAGAAAATCCTGAAAGGATTAGGCAAGTAGTTATGTTCTAAAACCTGACTTTTCTTTGAAATATTTCTAAAAAGGAGCACTTCCTCCAACCTTTACTAAAAGTCACATACAATAGCTGGATAACAGCCTCCTTCCGGGTCTCCCTACATTTTCTCTTGCTGTACTTGTCCCTAGACAGAGCTCAAGTGAACTTTTCAATATACTACCCATCTATCCTGTCCCAAAGACTTGCCACTGTTCTTAGGATGAAGACAAAAATTCTTAACATGTTCCTTAAGGTCCTAATGGTCTAACCCCAACTGGTCTCAGTTTTTATCTCACGTCACTCTACCCCACACCACCCCCTTCCTGAACATTCTGCCCCTGTTACCACCACCACTACTACTGCCTAACAGCTAGTCATTCTGATCTTCACTTTCAGTTCTTTGAACATGTCATACTCCACCCACCACAGGGACTGTGAACATTCTATTTTCTTTACCTAAAAATCTCTACCCATTCCCCAATCCCCAACGAATATTTATTAATGCCTAGTCTTCATGAGGCACTGTGCTAATTGCACAAAGATAAATGTCATGGCCCTTTGGTCAAGGAGCTGTAGGTACAGAGAGAAAAGCAGACTTATAAACTAACTGTTACATAGGACAAGTGCAAGAACAGGCACAGGAAAATTTTTAGGAGAGCATGGGGAATTGGTCACACCAAGAATGGCTATAAAAGAAGGGGTAAGAATGTTAATTTTTTTTAGCTACAAGTAAAAGCACATTACTGCACGTAGGAAAGTCCCTCTGCCTGTCTTTCCTGGTGACACTGAACACTTCACTGAAACACTCACCACAAATACCACCTCTACATGATATTTTCCCTGACATGCCCAGGTACAGGTAGCATCACCTTTCTCAGTTCTGCATTAAATTTTCTGCAGCAATCATTTGTTTAGATACCTGCCTCCCATGCTGCACTGAGGATTTATCAAGGGTAGTGAACACATCTTATTCATGTCTGGAAGACAGCACAGTAGAGGAAAAAGTCATGGGTATTGGAGTCAGAACTGGGTTCAAATTCCAGTAACAGGTTATCTGTAAACCCAAAAGTATGTTTATACTGGAGTAGGATATCACTATGATGCTTAACACTCATTGCTGCAGTGCTTTCAAGAAGGGCTAAATAACACATTCAAATAGCATACTTGATCCATTCAGCCTAAAGATTAAAATAACCCAGATAATACTTTTAAAATATCTCCACGTTCCAAAGTGCAAGGTTGGAATCACTGTAGTGTTTTGAAACATTGGGAGACATAATAAAGTTGCTCTTTTTTCTAGAGAAATTTTTTTCCTTCTCTAACCAAAACATCTCAGATGTGTCCTTTGCATCAGCCATTGTTAATCCTTCCATAAGACAGTATACAAAATCTCATCCCGGAGGTGAACAACTTCAAGTCTTCCTAACCAGAAAAGTTATTTTTGCCTTATCACCCTTAAACTTTTATATATGAATGTGTGTGTGTGTGTGCATGGTATTGAGGGAAAAGATATGAAGAAAGTTGGGGTAATGGTAGAGATAACCAATTTTGGTTTCTACTCTCTCTTCAATGAGTTATTTAATAATCTATATTAACATTACAACCAAATAACCAGAATAATTTTTTTGGAGTAAGAAATAATTCCACCTCTCTAATTCTGCCACTATCTAGAAGTTACCAAATTCCAACTGAATGTGCTTGACCAGAATCAAAGTGCCCAGGTTGGTCAACTCTAATTATCTGTGTGGGGTCTGATGACATTTCTGTGCCATCCCACTCATTAGCCTATTCTTCCAAATGCTGTACTATGTCAGCTACATTATAAGTTAAAACATTTTTAGGCTAACCTAAACATGTAACCATCATTTTTTACTTATTATTTCAGTCATCTGCGAGTGGCTTTAGCATATTTCTTGGCTACTTATCAATTAAATGGCATGGCACTGTTGTCTAGACCAATGGTTTTCAAATCTAACCTTGCATTAGAATCAAAGACAGAATTTGCCAAAAATGCTGTTCCTGAGCCCTCCTCCCCAAACCGCACCCTCCCACCCCCCACACACAGAGATCCAGGATTGACAGGAGTGGAGTGGGGCCAAGGCAGCCTGAGTCATTTTGACAGATTGTGAAAACAGTGGTTCTGATTCTCAGAAAGTTCTCCCTCCACTCTTTTGGAGAAAATATGAAGTTCTGGCTGGGGTCTTCTTTTAGGATCTATTTGATCCTTTCATAGAATATTAATAACTCATTCAACCTGTGCATGAAAATAGAGCCTTAGACTTTGCTCACGTACTTAATCGAAGATGTCTTTAATTACTGTATTTATCAGATACTATTGGCTTTATTGGTATTTTTGAGATGCTGAAATGTTCTGACTCTCTGATCCAAAATGTCCCAAAATGTATACCTTGGGATATTTGAGATTTCAGACAAAGTGGAATCATTTCTTTACTGCCAGAATTATCTGACTTTTAATACACACACAACAAAAATCTCAAAAAGTGACGGGCATAGTTTCCATCATTTCCTAAACTTATTATCACTTCTTTGATAACATTATGAGAGCTGCACAAGTACTATCTGATAATAAGCCCAAAACAATGAAAAAATATGTCTTCTGATCTTTAGGTTGTAACTGAGAGAATAGGAAATCATAAGTCTGGAAGGAAAAACCAAGCTGATCACAGGTCCATTCTGAGCTCAGAACCCATCTAGCAAACCACTAATTTTATAGACAGGGAAATGAAAGTCAAGGGAGTTTAAGAGTCAGCAAAAAAATGTTACTCAACTCGTTGATGTGATTGCAAGATTAGTCCTAAAGAAAGCAAGGGGAGACCTGATGTCACTGACATTGCAGGCCAAAAGTGTATAGCAACAATCGGCATATTGGTTGAGGAGCATTTACTATAGCTCAGTTAATGGATTTTGTCTTTCTAAGTCACAGGTGAGTTTTAGTTCTACCTTCTGAGAGGCCCTTGATTAGAAAGTCAGTATTCCAAAATGTCTTCAGACATCATTTCCTTAGTCTTTCTTAGACTGGTCACCTTGCCAGCTGGTCTGTTTCATCCATTTTAGCTTGATTTATTGTAACTCTTAGAGTGTAATAACCTGTTGCTTTGATTTAAATGCTGAATTTTCTGGAGGAGATGGTAGGAGACCTAAGGAATTCAAGAGACAGAGGAATCAGCAGAGACTTAAAGGTTCATAAGTAGTTTCCTAGGGAAGCTAGAACTTAGGCCAGATCTGGAAAGCAGGGGAGGGTTAGGAGAACAGATGGAAGGGGAGACAAAAATATGTCTTGGGCAAAATGATTAGTACTCTCTTCTGACCAGGGTAGGGAATGGATGTATTAATATTTTACTGCTTTTTCTAACATTAAAAATAGAAATTATTGCTAATAGTTTAAACATATCATCAGTTCACCTAACAAGAAGTCCAAGTTCACTCCCCAACTGAGAGGCCAAAGTTCCAAATACAAATATAACAAGGTCACTAAAATATAAGAGATACAAAATGTGAGCCAAATGGAAAACATCTTGACTAGAAAATACAGTCAGGGTAGTACTTTCAAAACTGACAGAGTTATTAAAACCAAGTGAAATGAACAAACGAAAACTATGACTATGAGAGATGACAGTGAGGGGTAAGATAGTCTTTATAAATTTTAAAAATTAACCAAAACATTCTAGAGTGACAAATATACCACCAAACAATGCTGCTTTTGTTTTTTTGTTGTTATTTAAATCAAGCTAAGAATGATTAAAGCTATTTTAGTTGTCGAATCACTGAATCTTAAAGACTGAACTCAGAATCAATCCATTTAGTCACCCTGATAATTTTATAGATGGGGAAATTGAGGCCAGAGAATTTAAGAGTCTGCAAAAAAGTTACTCAACTAGTTGATGGCAGAGTCAGTTCTAAATCCAGGTCTCCTATCCTTAGTCCAGGGTGAATTTAACTATGCTATCCTTCCTATCCTCTACAGACATGAATCTCATTTTCCTTAAAAGATATCTATAGATGCTCAGGAATTATTTGTCTCATCCTCACTATTTTAAAATTATACTAGAAGGAAAACAAAATTAACAGTGAAATAAGAATTGGGGTCTAACATCTGAAAGAGGACATTCACAATCTTTTCCTGCTTTAAGGTTCTGCCACAAAACATAGAAATCAGAAAGGGGGCAGAAAGGCATACAAGTATGTACTCAAAGCCAAATTTTAGCCCCAAAGTTCTAAAAATAATTTTGAAAGAGAAAGAGCATAGTTTTGAACACATTAAATCTGCATAAATTGTCACCGAACTTAGTATAAACAATCAAACTGTGCTAAAAGCTTAAGAAAAATCCTGGTCCGCATTCCTACAGCTGGTTTAGTTGTCTGAATTTAAGATTTTTAATTCCTTTGATGTAAAAATCATTCCTTCATATTCCAATACAAATGTGTCCGTGACCGCAGCCATATGTGACATTGTCGTTCTCACTGCACAGGTGGTTCTACTTTCATGTAGACTTCTTCCAAACAGTGGTCTGCAGTGCCGTGGCCATGTGCCCACCACATGCCTTTCCCAGCTTTAGTGGGGAAGACATGAAGTTTGTTTTGGAGTGATACATTACAGAGAAAGCAGGTGATCCCCTCTTGTTAAAATGGCCCTGAATAAAGTCAGTTCTTGTCTTGTGTCTGACACTGTCACCAAATGACCTCATTTCTATGGAAATGTAATTATAGCCCTTCTTAGAAGATGAGCAAGTCTCTGTCTATTCCCCTCCTCCACAATTATCCCACACAGCACCCTAGTCCAGCAAAACCAATGGAAATTTAAAAACTAAGGTCTCTGATGTCACAAATTTATGAATTCCACACATGCCTGTCTCCAATTTTTTTGATTTTTTTATTGAAAGGAGAGATGAGTTTTAAAGTATCTTGATGCATCTAAATGTTAATCTTCTATACAAAATAATAGGATATTAGAGAAAAAAGAGACCTCAGTGAGTGTGGGAAGAGAGACAGAACCACTGGAATCACTCAATTGTCTCTATCTGGCCCAAACAAGGCACGCAATGGTTTTATTTGTCAGCACTCACACTGAGAGGTGCCCCAGGATACACCAAATGTCACAGACGGGAATAAGAACTGTCTTTCCTCTAGCCAGTCACAAAGTTGTTTTCAGGACAGTGTTCATTTGATTCACATGATACCAGTTTGCACTAGTTAGCTGTTTTATTCTATTATTATCGGCATTTACTGAGCATTTGTCATGGGCCGAACTCTGTTCTGGGTCCTGTACCAAAAATGATTGACAGTACAGTCTGTTGCCTTTAATAGATGACACTCTAACTCACGACAGTAGTCTTCCTATGGGTACCTTCCCTGGACCGAAGACAAAGGGTGAAGGGTTGGCCTTACCAATGCAAATCCATCCTTGCTGCTAGAGGAGTAACTGAAGTGCATGCCTGGCAGGGGTGGGCAGCAGTGATTGTCAAATGCAAAGGGTGGCACATTATGCCAAAGCTGTAACTGGAGAGCTGGGGTAAGGAGTGGGGTGTGGGAAGGGATGTGTTCCCACCCACCTTCTCCCCTGTCCTAGGCCATGTCTCTAATTTGAACTGACTCACTTGGCAAAGATGAACAAAACTGTTGGGAACAATGTCATTTAAAAAAATGTTTTTTCTTTTACTTCTCTAGGTTTCCCTGGCATCAAAATTCCACATAAGAGTTGAGTGACTTAGAACAAGTAGACTAACCTTGGATTCAAGCCTTGGCTCTGCCAGCACTCATTATGTAACTTTGGATTTTTCTGAGCCTTAGATACTTAATCTATAAAATTAACCAGTTATTCTGGATGCTCTTTAAAGTTCCTTCTCGACCTAAAACTCTTTGATTCCATGTGGGGTTGTCAGATTTAGCAAATAAAAATATAAGATGCTCAGTAAAATTTGAATTTCGGGTAAACAATGAATAATTTTTTAGTACAAGTGTTTCCCATGTTCTATATTTCAGCTGGCAATCCTAATTCCATGACGTATCTGCCTCTCCAGGATGAAAGCAAATATCTAGGCAATAGGAAACGTCTGTTCTTGGGGGAAAGATTGCCAAAGTCATTAATATTCTTAAACAGATTTGTATCAGGACACAAGGGCTTCCTGTGTGGCTTGACCTCCCTATTCGGATTAGACAGAGTGGTGGGTGTCACCAACAGGTGAGGATGGGGAAAATGCTCCACCGTGACTGGACTGTTTGAAAGATATAATTAGTAGTAAACGTAGGCGTCGGCATCCCCCTCCCAACACTCAGCCCAATGGTTGCTTGTTGCAGACAAGACTTCCAGGCATCGCAGAAAGCAGACCAGTCTATTTGAGTTCAAGGAGACAAAAGGAAGAACAGTGGAGAAAAGAAAGAAAGAACCCAAGGCTCCCATTACATAATCATTAACAGATGACTTGTAAAATGTAGCATAAAATCCAACTGAGGATAGAAAATGAGACCGTTGAGAAACTAAGGCCCCGGGGGAGAAAGGAAGGGCTGGGAAGGCTGAGTCCAGATTTACAGACACAAAAAGGCCCTTGGAAGAGGCCATCCAGGTCTTGGCTCCATTTTCCTTCTATATTGATTTTATTCTCTGCTCAGTAGGAAACAGTATGAGAGTTATTTCCACCCAAACCTCATGAAATGGGCTTATGCATAGAAACAAGAGTACTGTTTCTCCAAAAGAGAAGGGAAAGAGGTACCAAAGGAACAAAAGCCATGGGAAAAACACAGGCAGATGTCACTGTCAAGTTTCTCTGCTTTTGGCTTCTAGGAACTCCATGTATTTGTACTGGCCACGTCATGCTAGTCAGAAATTTTGGCTGGCTGTTTTGCTCTTTTTTTATTAATTAAAGTGGGGAAAATGGGTTATTCTTCCATAAAGTCAGTGTTTTGGTACATAAAATCTTTTGAATATTAAGAATAGAGGGGAAAAAGTAGTAAGAATGGATTCTTGGGATGAAAATCTGGGGACCACTGTTATAGCAGACATTTGTTCAGTGTCTGCCATGAACCTGATGCTATACCCCACATTTTCACTGTCTTCTCAGCTAATCCTCTCTTACTCTGTAGGAGAGATGCCGTCATTTTTTACAGGAAAAGAAAGGTATATCTGAGGCTCAGATAACTTAGTGGCTTGGCCATGGTTTGGAAGTTACTGGCAAGTAGCCTGAGATTCCAGCTCAAATTATCTGACTGTAAGTTCAACAGTTCAACACTAATTTTTTTAAATATCTTTTTTTTTTAAGGCAAAGAAGCCAACCTGCTAATGCAAAATCTGAGCAAGTTACAAACACCTGAAGAAAAGCTTGATTTTTTATTCAAGAAGTATGCTGAATTGGTAAGATCTTTGATTAGCTCTTTTTGTTGGAAAGATTCACGCTCTGGTTAGAGCTAAGAAAAGAAGACTGTTAGTTTTTCATGTAGTCTTTATAGACCATAGCTGCTTACCCCAACCAAGCCAAAGCTAGAATTCATAAAAGAATTTTTTTAAGAAAAAGAAAAACTGAGAAATAACAGCCAAGGAAGAAGGATAGAATTGGAGTCTACTTCACTCAGTTCCATGTATAATTTTGAGGATGAAACAGAGAAGTATAGATAATTTAAAATTGTGACCATTTAAAGCTCTTTTTAGCTTTGCAATAAAACAGAAGTACACTCGACATAAAGATAAACAAACCGTCCAACGTTCATTCAGTCCACCTACTCGGGATTTTTGAGGGGTAAAAGGGGAGGAAGGTAGAGGAAGGTTCACGGGCTGTATTAGTCCATTTCCATTTTTTATAACAAAATACCTGAAACTGGGTGATTTATAAGGAAAACAAAATTTATTGCTTACAGTTTCTGAGGCTGGGAAGTCCAAAGTCCATTTAATAATGGTGGTCAGGGGTGTGGATCTGAGGGCTTTAAAGGAAGAGGAGAGTCTGTCTCTCTTCCTCTGCCCTCTCTGCTTCCACCATCTTGCAATGTGAGACCACTGGGTCACTGTCACCACCACCAGATGGACTTTGGACTTCCCAGCCTCAGAAACTGTAAGCAATAAATTTTGTTTTCCTTATAAATCACCCAGTTTCAGGTATTTTGTTATAAAAAATGGAAATGGACTAATACAGCCCGTGAACCTTCCTCTACCTTCCTCCCCTTTTACCCCTCAAAAATCCCGAGTAGGTGGGAGAGCAGAGAGAAAGAAAAAGACAGACTCTCCTCTTCTTTTAAAGCCCTCAGAAGCATGCCCCTGACCACCATTTTTAATCCATTCACTACCGCACTGTCCTACAATCCAATCACCTCTTCAAGGATCCACCTTTCAATTACCAGTCACAGTGCGGGCTAAGTTTCTTTTTTTTTTCCCCTTTTTGTCTTTTTTCGTGTCCGGCAACGGATCGCAACCCTCAGTGTCGCACCCGTACCGGACCGGGACTGGCAATGGGATCGCACCCCTCGGTGTCGCGCCCACACCTCGCTCAGCCAGTGAGCGGGAACCGGTCTGTATGTGGGATCCGAACCCTCGGCGGGAGCGCCACCACACTCCCAAGCGGCGCACTATAGCAGTGCGCCACCGGGCCGGCCCGGGCTAAGTTTCTAATACATAAACTTGGAAGACAATTCAAGCTTCAATGAGTTTTGGAGGGACATAATTCAGTCCACTACATGAGCACATTGTCATCTGGTCTGGCTTATTTACATATCCATTTTCTTTGATCTACATTCTTCTGCCTCACCCCTGCAATGGCAGAGCGTTGTATGTTTTGAACTCGGCTCCATGTCCTCTGCATGCAGCCTCCCTCTCAGTAAGTTAGGGCCACTGGGAGCAAGGGAAGCCACTCCCAGCCATCAGAGAGTCCTTGAAGGGGCTGTCTCCTCATCAGTACACTGAAATTGGCAGGTTGGAGAAAGGGGGAGGACTTAGTGAGGCTGGCATCTCTAGTTTCAATGAACCCTCACAAACACCTGCTGATGAGAAGATGAACTGAAAATGCAGACAAAAGTGATGTCTGAGGTCTGTGCGCTACCCCCACAGACTGAGACCTACAGCTGAGATGCAGCACACACTCAAGGAAAGCCAGGCAATGTGCTTTCCTTTATTTCTGTTTCTCTTCATTAGAAAATTTTTTCTCTTATTTTTTGGGAGAAGCAGTGACAGAGAATGAAACTGAAGACTACACCTAGCAAAAAATTCCTCCAAGCAGTAGGTGAAACGGCCCCCACAGGCAGATTTACCTTGCAGCTGAAGAAGCTTAAGCCTCAGGGCCTCTCACTTGCATGGGTCCCTCTGAGGCCCTGCACCTAATTCTCTTAATATTTTTAAAGAGGGCTTCCAGAAATGAATAAACTTTAGGCCCACAAGCCCTTCATCCCTATCAAGGAGTAGAGTTGAGTGACAGACTTGTTTTCTTCACTTTTCACTGTGACTCTAGACCTGTGATCCCTATTTGTTCTTTCCTTCCTTCAGCCTGTTGTGCTGAACTGTCAGGAAGTACACCCAGAACAATTCTGAAACCCTGAGTAGCTGTCTGATTGCTTAACTCTGCCAACAACACTTTTTAATTATTTTTTGATCACACAAACCACATCATGATGATATAAGAATGCTGAATACACAAAACAAACAAAAATATCTCTAATCCCACCATCTGAAACACAAACTTCGTTTTATGTATGTTCCTTTCTACTTCAACTATGGATGCAGAGATGCTTTGTACTATAATTATCATCATAGGTTACATATAAGTTGGCATCTGGGTTTTTGTTTTTTGTTTTTTGTTTTTGGCTCATATGACAGACATCTTCCAATGTAGTATATAGTCTTTATAATTATATTTTGTAAAAGTTGTATCATATTCCATTAATTGGCTATATCAACTGATTCACTAATTTTGGAACATTTAGATTCTTCCCACTGTTTTGTTTTACCAGATATTGCTGCAGTGAACATCATCATGCATTGAATTTGTTCCTTCTTCTTTTTTATGATTTTAAGAAAAAGTTCTAGAAATGGGATTACTAAATCAAACAGAATGAGTGCTTCTTGATCTTTAAGCTTTACGGCCATATGGCTTTCCAAAAGAATGGTAGAAACTTACAAAGCACATATCAGTGTATCAATTTTATTGCAACTTGATTAGCATTGGCTACTAATAGTTTCAATACCATAAAATGAGTAGGTGTCAAAAATATTATTTGCCCCCTGTATTAGTCTGTTTCTGTTGCTTATAACAAAATACATGGAACTGGGTACTTTGTAAGAAAATGAAGTTTATTGCTTACAGTTTCTGAGGCTGGGAAGTCCAAAGTCCAAGGAACACATCTGGTGGTGGCAACAGTGAACCCCTAACATTGCAAGATGGTGGAAGCAGAGAGAACAGAGAGAGAACTCCTCACGCACTCTCCTTTTAAAGCCCTCAGAACCACGTCCATGACCACTGTTATTAATCCATTCACTACAGCATGGTCCTGCAATCTAATCACCTCTTCAAGGCCCCACCTTTCAATTACCATAATAGGGTTTCCCACCCTCAACAGTTAACTGTGGGGATTAAGCCTCAATGAGGTTGGGGGGGGAGGCGTCCAGTCTACAGCACCCCCCAAATCTGACTTCCTCTCTTACCTATTCATTCTACTCACACCTATTTATCCTTGCTCTTTTTAGTATTTTTCCACATCATTTTTCCTCTGCTCCTTCAATTTACCTACTCATGCCATGTCCACATGGGTTCAGTTTCTAGTGCCATGTTCTATATGGGGCTGGACTGGGCAGCTTTCTTGACTAGCACTGAAAACCATTTACTGTGCTGCAGTCCCACAGCAATTCACTGGAGAAGAATCGCTTCTCTAGTCTGACCACCGTTTTGTCCATGAGCCAGGGCTGTTCACCCTGGTCCCAGGAAATGCCCTGCACCTACTCACCCTCCTAGCCAAGCAGTCAACCCCACAGAGGCTATTTTTCCACAGACCCTACTCAATATAAGCCTTTTTCACTATACTTTGGCATTTGTATCAGCTCTTATAACAAACTTTAAAACCTAAAATACTGTCTTAGAAAAAGTGAATAGGACAAAATTGACCCCCAAAACCCATTACATTTCCTTTTCAGAAAGGAAAAATTATGAGAAATTTCAGTTTTTTACTTGGAAACTCAGTAGTGCTGAGGTTGAGAAGCCTTGACATATGGTTTAATCTTCAAGAGATATAATCTAAATCATCGTGGCTATAACAATATATACATTTCAAGAAAGGACAATAGGTCATTTAAAATACAAATATAAGCATGAGAAATTTTACCCCTCACTTATAACACGCTACAAAATGAAAGTACCATATCTTGCTCACTGATTTGGACAGTAATACAGAAAATGTCTGAAATATAAGTGTTAGTATGGAATAAATAACCAAATCCAAAGCTGTGAATCAAACTGCCACTCTAGCTCAGTCATCCTTTCAGAGTCTGAAACCTGTAATACTATCTGCCATTGTATTCATTAATAAATGAGGATAAGTTCATTAATAATTAAGGACACCTCATGACTAAATTAAGAAATGGGCTGGGAGAAATGAATGCAGATTTTGAATGAATGAATGAAATTTTGAATGAATGAATTTTGCAGATTTCCTCAATTTTTATGTAGTTAAAACAATATCACTAATACGATTCTACTTTAGTACTTGGCATTAATTTTACTTTTCTATCTTAGTAAAAAGAGAAAGAGAACAAGAGAAATTGCAGATAAAAATCCTATATGCCTGTTAACGGTTGTACAGAAGAGCTGTGCCTAAGTGCCTCGTTAAATCACAAAGCCAGCATCTGACTGAAGTTGACTCCTTTGCAATATGTTTGCTTTCATTCATTAAGAGACCCCATGCATTCACATAGGAAGTATTTAAACAAAATTATCCACACACTAAAAAGAAAAAAAATATTCACATACTAAAATTAAATGTCAGAAAGTGAAGGGTTTTTATTTTAGAGCAAAGCAAGACAGACCTAGCTATATTTTAAATTTGAATGATCTTCCAGTAAAACTAAAACATTAAATAGTCAATGTGCAAGCACAAATCATCTCTCTCTTCCAATTTATGAAACACGTGTTGGATATTTTCATCCTGACACCGAGATAAAGCCACATAGGGCAGTATTCCCCAAAGAGGGGAAGTTTTGCCCACCAAGGGACAATAAGCATGTCTGTCTGGAGATATTTTTCATTGTCACAATTGGGCTATGCTATTGGCATATAGGGGGTAGAGTCCGGGGATAGTGCTAAACAGCCTGCAATGCACAGGACAGCCCCCACAACAAAAAATTATCTGGCCCAATATGTCAGTAGTGCTGAGGTTGAGAAGCCTTGACATATGGTTTAATTTTCAAGAGACAGAGTCTAAATCATTGTGTTTATAACAATATATACATTTTAAGAAAGGACAATAGGTCTTTTAAAATCCAAATATAAGCATGAGAAATTTTACCGCTCTCTAATAACTATGCTGCAAAATGAAAGTACCATATCTATCTTATGAACAGCAATTTATCATGAGAAATATATAGTGAAATATCATTGCTTTTCCAAGAAGGATATCAATTTCAATCAATATTTTTAATAATTTGGCTCTTGTTTTTTCCATTGCTAATTCCCAGTACTCAGTAGAAATTGTATATGGGTGTGAAGACAGAATATCATATATGCCTATCCTTAGCTTAATCTAGAAAGGATTTATAATGGTTATTTTAGTGTGGCAGGAAGGAAGGAGGAAAGGAATAAAATAAGATGTGAACTGAAGAAAGTCTAACAGTCCTGCTCATCTAGCTCAGGAAGAACAAACGTTTTTCAAAATGGGGAAACAAGACTCCTGTGGCATGTGTGTCCATCCGCATCAGGCTCTGAGAGACACCAGGAACACCCGGGGTCCAGAGAACCCGGGGGCTCCCTCCCCAAGGCTTTTCCTTTCCATTATCCAACAAGCTCACTAATAGGATTGGTACGTACCTGGCTTAAGCACCATTTAGGCACTAAAGCAACTGAGTTCAGCAGAGGAAATGGCTCTAGACAAGTTGCTGATGCTTGAATGTGGCCACACTGATGGTCAGTCTGAGATCAACACTCTTGGAGCCCGCTTATCTCTCTGGAGGTTGATTCCTACACTCCCTCCACAGGGTCTAGAACTCCGAAATACTGTTGCCAGGTTTAACAAATAAAAATACATTACACCCAGTTAAGTTTACATTTCAGATAAACTACAAGGAATATTTTGGTAAAAGGATATCCCGGGCAATATTTGTGATATACTTATACTAAAAAATATTTCCTATTTATCTGAAATTTAAATTTAACTGGATGTCCTGTATTTTATCTGGTAACCCTTCCCTAGAACTTCAGCATCCCAAGAAAGAAAGTACAGCGGTAAACTGGTTTTGTTTTACGTGCCTTCCCTGATACTTTCGTTGTGGCTGCTGGAGGGGTGTGAGAAGCAATCCTGGGCCCAATGGAAACAAGCATCAGGATTTAGTTGCTATCAGCACACAAGGCTGGGGGCTGGGGGACAGGGCATGTGACAGATATTTGCCATTCATGCTGTTGAGTTGGGAGGTGGCTATTTCTGACGTTTGGTGAAAAACCATTAATGCTTAGGTATGGGAGAGGTGCTTTCTCATCTCCTTCTTTCCCACGCCCAAACAATCCTCAACCAAAGTCCAAAATTATAAAGAAGAGGACTTCATCTTTTGCTTACCAGAAGGCTGCTTTTCCCTTTCTTATTTTTCAAAATAGTGCTACAAAAGCTTGTTTTGAGAAAGAATTATAAGAACTAAATGTAACCCAAGCTGACCAATTGTTGGCCATTGCTTCAGTGCTAGGCACCATCATGAATTCTGGCAGTTTACAGATTCTGACACGTGACTTTCTATATTTGTTGGTATCATCAGATGGACTCAAGAAAAATATTTCTAGATCACCAAGAAAAGATCAAAGTAAGAAGAGGTTAATGATTAATCATGAAAAACCTGTAAATGTTATGCTATAAAAAGTATTATCAGCAAGTACTGCAAAGGTGACATTTGTGAAATTCATTTGCTTCCAGAGGTACATATAACAGTAGAAAATGTTTCCTAACAACCATAGAGCAAGTGACTTTTAGGTTTGGCACCTTTTCTACCAACCCCAATGAAATTCCTACCATTTACTCCCCCACATCTAGGTGGATGAACATCGCACTGAGCAAAAGAAGTTAAAGCTTCTACAAAAGAAACAGATACAAATCCAAAAGGAAAAGGACCAGTTACAAAGCGAACACAGCAGAGCTATCCTCGCTCGAAGCAAACTGGAGAGCCTGTGCCGGGAGCTGCAGAGACACAACAAGACACTGAAGGTATGTGTAACCATGGCTCGAAATAACACCCTTTCTTGTATACTGCATAGACACAGGACTGTGCTACTCATGAAAAGAGCATGAGTTTTTGAATCGGAGAGGCTTGGGTTCAAATGCTGCCCTGCCTCTTGCTTGCTTGTGACCTTCAGTAAATTTTTTAGCTCCCTGATATTGTTTCCACATTCATAATGTGGGGATTATACCAGCCTCATTGCATTGTTGGGGAAAATTAAATGGGATCCCATGTATGCAGTACCTGACACAGAGCAGGCCCTTAACAAAATGTATGCCATTCTTTTTTCCTCTTTTTTTTTTTTTTTCCTTTTTGTCTTTTTTCGTGTCCGGCAACGGGATCGCAACCCTCGGTGTTGCTCCCACACCTCACTCAGCCAGTGAGCAGGAACCGGTCTGTATGTGGGATCCGAACCCTCGGCGGGAGCGCCACCGCGCTCCCAAGTGACGCACTGTAGCAGTGCGCCACCGGGTCGGCCCTTTTTTCCTCTTTTTTATGTTGAGTTTTGTTTGTCTCTTTTCTGTTTTTTAAGGTGGGCCTTAGATCTTCTCTTTAAACTATAAATTGGTAAAAATTCAACATTTTTGGTATTATAATGAAATCTGCACGACATGAGATAAATTAGCCAAAAGTTAACTGATACTATAAAGTGAGATTGAGAGCCAAAATTTCAATAGTCACATGAAAAAAGAAGCCACTTGAAAAAACACTGAAGCTCTTCAGACTTAATTATTCAATCTAAAAATAATAGACTGATCACTTCATTCAGTCTGCATGGGTTTCATTAATTACAGCATCAGCCCTGTCCATGTGGTTAATTTGATTACACACAGACACGAGCCCCATTCAATAAAGCAAGATTTGGGGCTCTCCAAGATAATGCTGTGTGTGTCCATAGTCCCCTTTCCAGCTGAAGATCCTAATGCCTTTGACAAACAATAATTAATTAGACACCAGTACTCCTGTGAGGTAGTTATTATTACATGTGTTTAAAAGGAGATACTTCAAGAGACAGAAACATTAAAATCATTGCTGAGTTTGTACAATGACTTAGGAAGAAAAATAGAAGAGCATAATGGTTCCTCATATTCCAAATTGTTTTTAACATTTTGGAAATAGGAGGCTTGTGTGATGAACCCTAACTCTCAAATTACCATTTTAGGAGATTGCACTAACTACAATCAGAAACCTAGGTTGGATGAGGGCCAGAAGATGGGAACATCATCCTTAACCAAAGACATGTATTCAAGTAATAATATTCTGAGTTTACATACATCTCCTGGCTTTCCATAATGTAACATGGTAAAGAGATATAAATTAAATCACATACGGTGGAAAAATTTATCAAGAGACTTAAATAGTGGAATGATATGGCTTGGTTTCTTTGGGTAGCATTCAAAGACAATGACGGAAGTGGCAGGAGACCTTGTAGGTAACTGCACACACCTTTGGTAATGGCTTATGGCTATGGACAATGAATTTAAGTATCATTATTATGCCAGGAGTTGTGCTAAGCGCTTTACCCATGGTATTTCATTTTATCTGCTCAATAACCCTATGAGGATTAATATCTCCACTTTATTAACAAAGAAACTGTGACTCAGCAATCCAAATCAGTTGTTCAAGGTTATATATTTTAAGTATCAAAATCAGGATTCAAAATTAAAATATTTTCTAATTTCTCTTCTGATATTTTCCTTGACCCATGGATTATATAGAAGTGTTGTTTAATTGGTATAACCCATCATATATGGTCTATCTTGATACTATGTGTACTTGGAAAGAATGTCTGTTCAGATGTTGGGTGTAGTGCTCTGTAATAAAATTAGCTTTAGATCATTTATATCTTTACTGACTTTTAGTCTTTATGTCGCTGAGGAATGAGTTTTAAAAGTCTCCTAATATAATCATGGAATTGTTTACTTCTTTTAATTATATCAATTTTTGCTTCATGTATTTTGAAACATTAATATTAAGCATACATACATTTATGAATATTATGTCTCCTTGATGAATCCACCATTCCATCACCATAAAACTTCCTTTGACAATAATCATTATCCTGATGTCCACATTATCTGATATCAATATAGCCAATCCAGTTGTCTTACTCTCATTGTTTACATGATATATCTCTTTCTATCCACTTATTTTCAACCTGGATCTTAATATTTAAAGTGCATATTTTAAGATAACATAGTGCTGGACCATGCTTCTTTTCATCCTCACAATATCTGCCTTTTAATTGGAGTACTAATCCATTAACCTATAATGAAATTATTGATGAGGCTGAACATACGTTTACATTTTACTTTATTATTTGTTTACTATGTGTCACCTCTGTTTTTTGTTCCTTTGTTCTCTTCCTGCCTTCCTTTGGATTATTTGAATATTGTTAAATTATATTTTAATTTATCTCTTCAATTTTTTTTTTTTTTTACAAAAGATGACCTGTAAGGGGATCTTAACCCTTGACTTGGTGTTGTTAGCACCATGCTCACCCAGTGAGCTAACCGGCCATCCCTATATGGGATCCGAACCTGTGGCCTTGGTATTATCAGCACCACACTCTCCCAAGCGAGCCACGGGCCAGCCCCATCTCTTGAATTTTTAAATTATACCTCTTTGCGTTATCTTTAATGATTGCTCTGTGATGATGATATACATTCTTAAGAGTTCATAGTCTACCTGGAATCAATATTGTATCACTTCACATAATACATAGAAATATTACAACTAAATATGTCCATTTACCCCCCCAACCTTTAAGCTACAGTTGTTATATGTATTACATGTACATACATTTATAAAGCCCATAAGACAATGTTACAATTTTTACTTTAAACAATTATATGTACTTATCTAAAAATTAAAGGCAAAAAAAAGTCTTTTTATTTACCCAGATATTTACCATTCCTGATACTCTTTATCCCAGAATTTCCATTTGTTTCTTTATTATAGATTATTTTTCTCACCTAAGGTTTCCTATCTTTTCATTCATTGAGATAATATCTTTCTTGACATTATTGAGCATAGTTATAATACTTGTTTTCAAATTCTTGCCTGTTAATTTCACATCTAGGTCATTGTAGAACAGGCCTCCTCTGATTGACTTTTCTTTTGAGAAATGGGTCACATTTTCTTGGTTATTCACATGTCAGGTCATTGTCAAGTGTATCCCAGATGTTGTGACTGTTATGTTATAGAGAATCTGGATTCTACTATTCCCCTCTGAAGAATGTTGATTGTTTTTTTAGCCAGGTAATTAATTTGGATAGATTCAAACTACAACTTTGTCCCTTGGGCAGCAGCTCAAATCTCAGTTCAATTCTTCTTCTGTTAACTGGACTGCTTTGAGTTTACCCTGTACATGTGTAGTTCAGGGTCAGTCACAGATTTAGGCAAAGTTTATTCACAGAATTTAGGTCTCTCTCTGTTTCTCTTTCCTGGGAATCTCTTCCTCACCTTCCAGTGGCTATCGTTTCCCAGAACTTTGAACTCTCATTTTTCAGACCATAAAGATAACAGGTTTTTTACGAGAGTTTTACCCATCCCATTCTGCTGCCAACTGTAGTCTTTCCCCAAGCCAAAAGCTGTAAAAAAAAAAAAAAAAAGAAAAGAAAAGAAAAAGTGGGGGGGACTTACAATATATACAGTTGCCAACTTTCCTCCAGAATTTGTCTGATTTTGTTTACTCTTCAGTGCCTTTATGTAGCTGTTCCTTGCATTTTGTCCAGAGTTTAAAGTTGTTATCTGCAAAAGAGCCAACTTGGTACGAGCATTCTTGGTCACAATAGTGAAACAGCCTAAGTATGCTTGAATCAAAAATCATGTGCTAGGAGCTTGAGAAGACATAGAAAGACAATTCATAACCAGGTCTCTCCACCACCATAAGTTTTACCTTTCACTATTCTTTATTAAAATTGTTCTTTAGTGAGTCAATTGCACAAGCACATACACACACAGCCTCACAATTTAGTATAATTTAGAAAACGTTTAGTGAAAGTCTGAGACATGGGCTTATTTCAACAAAATAGTACATATATTTGAAGCAATAAATCCAAGCCTTGAATAATACAGAAAATGAATTATCAAGTAAGAGATGGGCAAGTATCTCAGGGAACATGAGTTTACTAATGGAATAAATAGCATTTGTTATCAGAATATCACAGAATTCTAATGTGGAAAGGACTATAGGAATTGTCTAGTCCAAGCTACTCGTATGTCTGTACATAAATTAATAATTCATTAATTCATTAAATAAACATTTACTGAATACCTATGGATTATATGCCAGGGACAGCACCAGTTCTAAGGTGCACAATAAGGCTTTCAAAGTTTATTTTCTTAGTTATTTCAGACTTTGTCTCACAATCTTATTTGCATTACTAATTTTGAATAATGTGCTTGACAAAGAAAAGAGAATTTTATCTCGGACACTGTCCAAATGATTGTAAATTCTTTATCAATAAACTCAAATTTTATAAGATTTTGGTAGATTTATTTTTGTCTCATTGGAAAACGATATAATGTAAAATGCAAGATGCCATTTTGTGGGCCACAATTGGGTGCTATAATGGTTTGACATGCATTTAATGCCATCCTGACAGCTGTACCTTCTTTCTGTAGTCGACTATCAGTGAAAAACTCATGCTGGGTGGCATAAGATAGTTCTTTCATCTTCTCGTTCAGTTATGGATAGAATATTTATAAATGCAAATGGAATTCAGATTATGGTTTGTCGTTCTATGACTCCAAACTTGTTGACTTCTAAGCTCATCAGGAGCAATAAGGAGACAATCACTATCATATGAGGGTACTTGAAAAAGTTCTCAGAAAAATAGAATTAAAAGATAAAACTAATCTTCCCATGAATTTTTCAAGACCCCTCATTTGTATATTTAGTAGCTCTTAATTTACAGCCATAATCATTTTTAGTGAAATACATATAGTAAGTGTTACTACACCAAGTTCAGGGAAAAAACATATTAGATAGTTAATTCCTTCAAATTGGGAAGTGAAAATATCTTCTACAATCTCCCTGAGAGGTTGTTGCTCAGTAAAGTTTCACCAAATGAACAAATTATTATTCTGATATCAGGAGTCAAATTAGAGTTAGGAAATGTATTAATATCATAGAGGAAAGAAAAAAACCTAATGATAAAATATTTCTGGAGCATATATATTCAGCATCAGTTTTTATGTTGATCATATTATTCTAGCATAATAAAGATTCGCACAGTAATAAAGATTTATTTCTGTTGAAATTATCATTTGTTCTTTAAAAAAAATCCTGTTACATAATTCGAACTTGGTAGGCAACTAGATGCAGTATAATTTTACTTGCCAACAACGAAGCAAGCTTTCATAGTAACAATTAATCAGAACTGAAAGGAGTTCTAAAATGTCTGTATCATTTGTCAGCAGTGTGTCTGTTTTTTTGGTATGATGTAGCAAGATTGAACCCTTTTATTCTAAAAGAATGAGAAGAATAATCACAAAGCCAACAGTTCTCAATATAGATATGGAGGAAATTTGAGCACATTGTGCGTGGTTAGCAATAAATGGAGGGTTTTGATTTAGGAGAAAAGAGAATAGAAATGACATAAAAGTTAATTTCCAATTCTTCAATGTTAACAAGCAGAAGGGGGAAATTAGATGTTTCATTTCAGAGTTAAGGAAGATCTGAAGTTTAATATTGCTTTCATATTCAAAATTTACATTGAACATTTCAGTTACCCTATATTACCCTGTGTGACACATGGGATAACAGTTCTTTCAAATATAAAATATGCAGCATTTTTGGAAAGATTTCCTTTTATATATTTGAATGGCTATAATTGACCTATAACTATCTTAGTTTCCTTTTTTAAGCTGTTTGAAGAAAGTTTTTGCTTACTAAGAAAAAGCTTATATTGTGATTATTTATATTTACAAAACTTGGGTAGTACAATAATGTGGCTAATATGCCATGGTTTTATAAAGGAGTCTAAGGTCTATTTTTCTTTCTGCACCAAACCAAAGGAACATATAATCTGTCTCATCAATCAGTAAAACCAAGTGACCTTTTTTCCAGGCCACAGCCAAGAGATCAAAACCGTGTGACTGTGTGTTTGTTAGAAATAGCTGCAGTTCATTCACTCAGCAGGAGACCCGTCATCTTTAAAACCGGCCTATTCATCACCAACTATCAAATTCAAGCCCCTCACAGCACCTGCTCTGAGTAACTATGTACTCACAGCTGAAACCTTTGCTCATACATTTATTTTGGGGCTGAGCAACTTCAGCTCTAAAGAACTGAGAAAAATTATCCCACTTACTCTGCACACTAGTCTCCTTTCAGTGACCTAATACTGACTTCTTTCTATAAACCCGAGACACATTTCAACCAGCATAACAAATTATTTTGTTTTATGTCCACAGGAGGAGACCCTTCAGCGGGCACGCGAGGAAGAAGAGAAAAGGAAGGAGATCACCAGTCATTTCCAGAGTACCCTGACAGATATCCAGGCCCAGATTGAGCAGCAGAGTGAGCGAAATATGAAGCTCTGTCAGGAGAACACAGAACTTGCAGAAAAACTGAAAAGCATCATCGATCAGTATGAACTCCGAGAAGAGGTGAGAACCACATCAAACAACTTAGAAGAATTGTGCATATTTCTGGATGTGGGCTGAGAAGGTGGGGAACTTGGTTAATAATATTGTGGCCAGCCCTCTCATCTGACTAATATTTAGAATAGGATTGGATTTCTTTTACTAGCCAAAATAGAGGCAGATGGTATTACAATATACCTGGCTGAAAGTCAAATGGATTTCTTCAAAACTGGTATCACTGCAAAGTTAACTCAGTAAATAGAAAGTGGTAGGCTGTGAGCACCGTTATCCTTGAAAACATTATTTCTCAGCCTTTTAAAAACGCTCTTTGTATAGCCAAAAATAAACACTCTCTCTTAAGAATCACTATGTCACCTAAATTAAAAGTCTGAATTCTATGTTACCTACAAGCCAATAATAGTATTAATAATGTAATAATTATAAAATAATGATATTTATTCCGTGCTTGGTTTGTGTTAGGCAATATGTTAAGTACTGTATTTTACACACAATAAGTCATTTATTCTCAACAATGTCATGAACTAGATAATAACATATTATCTCAATTTTATAGTTGAGAAGAGAGGCTACAGGATTAAATCACTTACCCATAGTCACAAAAGCCAAAAGACTTTTGCTTTCAATGGTTAATTCACCCTAGGGGAACTATCAGCGTCTTTTGTTATCCCCAAATTATATTTGAGTATTTAATATGTTTTTAAGACTCCAGATGCCCTCTCAGGAGTTTCACGCATCATATTCCTTTCCCCATCCCACCCAAATGTTACATCTCTGCCCTAAACTTTGCATAACATAATCAGAGTGCCTCTGTTGGCAACATATTAAGATTTTATTAAAGAAAAAAAAACTAACCCTGAGCCTGTAGCATATGGTCACAGCAGATAGGCAAGAAAGAACTCCTCACAGTAAGCCGAAATGCCATGCTACCGTTTCATCTTGTCACAGGGATCAATCCCACTCCAGAATGGAGGCTCAGACTAAAGAAGGGAAGGAGCGAAAGGAAAATGTCCATACTCTTTAGAGATCTCAGATGGGAATGTCCTGGTGTACTAGTTGTATATTCCTGGGATTGGTTCTAATAAAGCCTAAGGATAGAACTCCATATATCCTCTTTCTGATGGGACCTCCTAATGACCAAGATTCTTCAAAAGCTGTGGAGGACTCAGTGACATTTGTATATCAATTCATCTGTGACCCTTGGCCTTGTCATCCCCACCAGAGCAACAGAGTAGAATCCAGGGGGCTCAGACCTCACTCTCAAACCTAGGACCACATGCTGGCGCTCCAGGGCTTTCTCACAACCCTTGAGGCAAGAATGTGGAGAATTCACCATGATAAATTGTATTAATGTTGTGATTAACAGTGGTTTTATTTTTATAGAAAGAGCCAAAATACCGAGTGATGGTGCTGTAGCCCTTGCAGCGTATATCATTGTCCGTGCTGTCTAGCATAATAAATAGTATTATACCTAATAGTTGTCAGATTTATAAAAATAACATTAGGACCTTTTGGCATGGACACCGGGCTTCACCAATTTATGGCTTTACTATAAAACCATAAGTAATGCCAATGCATTTATTCCCCTCTTTTTTTAAATCTTAAAACCTGAAGAATGTGTGTTCATGTGAATATTTTTATTTTACATCTTTAAGCACCAATTATAAACCAACTTTTATATGTGTACTTTATTTTTTCTTAGCATCTGGACAAAATATTTAAACACAGAGAACTGCAGCAGAAGCTGGTGGATGCAAAACTTGAGCAGGCCCAAGAAATGATGAAGGAAGCGGAGGAGCGACACAAGCGAGAAAAGGAATATGTACTTATCCTTTTAGTCATTGAGCACATCTGGTCCACCTCAGTGTCAGAGACTCTCTGAAAAAGTTGTTTTGATAATGGTCAAAGAGCACTAGCCTTTGATGGAGGAACAGCCCAAGCTTCCTTGGAGAACTACCTTGGCCAGCCTAGCACAAGGCACTGTACTTACACTATTTTTTTTATATAAAATAGCCATTCATCCATTCAACAAATATTTTTTCAAGTGCCTATTATCTGCTAAATATCATACTTGGTTCTGGGGTATGGCTATGAACAAGACAGAGAAGGGTCATTTCCCACCATGGAGATTAGTCTCGCCGGGAAGAGACAGGCAATAAACAAGGAAACACCACAAGAAAGGGTAATTCAGATATTCATGAGTGCTATTAGAGAGATAAGGAGGAACTGAGAAGGGGCCAAAGGAGGGGACCTACTTTAGACTGAGTGACCAGGAAGGCCTCCTGGAGGGGAGGATGCTTGAGCCAAGCCCTGCCCAATGAGGAGCTGCCATGTGGACAGTCATGTCCAGCAGCAGTGTCTGCAGCAATGACAAAGGCCCTGATGCTGGAACCAGCATGGTGGGCCCCAGAAATAGGAAAAGGGCAGGGAAGCAAGAGAATGTTAACCAAGTGAGGAAGAAGTTCAAAATGAAGTTGGAAAGGTAAGCAGGGGCCAAACTGTGTAGCTTTGTAGGGCTCGGAAAGTAGTTTGGATTTTATTCTGAATATGTAGGGAAAGTATTTGGTAGTTTTAGCAAAGGAAGTGGCATAATCTGCTTTGCACCTGTAAAAGATTAATTTGGCTCCTGGGTGGAAAATGGACTACAGAGGGACGAGAAAGCAAGTTGCCAGTTAGGAGGCTACTACAGAAATCCAGGTGGGATAAGATGCTCACTCGGAGGTGGCAGCAGAGAAGGAGAGATGGAGATGGACAAAAGAGGTTTTCATAGTAAAACCAACAGGTCATGCTGCTGACCTGAAGATGGTGACAGTGAGGAAAGGATGGCTCCTCAGTTGTGGGTTGAAGAAATTGAGAGGTAGTGTTTACTGCTATCTCATTAACCCCAAGCACCCCAAGAAAACAGTAGATTCACTCTACAGAGGAGAGAATTGAGGCTAAAAGAAGACATGACTTGTTTCAGGTCACACACTAAGTGACCAAGATGTGTTTCAAACCCATGTACATCTGTCCCCAAAGTCCAAGCTCTCTGTGACAGTACATCACACTCAGAAGTGTGTGTCAGAGATATGAGTTGAAGCATGTGTTTGTTGTTGGGGGTAGAGATTTAAAACATTGTCAATGGACCAACTATTCAAATTTGGCTACTTAATATCTGATCATGGGCTTTTCGTTTACCTAAAATCATATCAGAATCAATTCAATTTGTTAGAATAGTAATTTTAAAATAACTTTACTTTTTAAACATGGCAACAAGACAACAAATTTTAGAGAACATAATCTGGTGGACATTGGATAATTTCAAATCAGAAGCCCATGTTCTCTTAAGAAAAAGATTAATTTATTAAATCCATCTACAACCTAGCTCTCAAAGTAAGAAATAAAACATGCAGTTATTATTCAAAATCCAAGAACATAGATACTCCACTGTTGGTGTAATTACCCTCTTAGGTAAAATATGTTTCCTAAGTACTGGATATGAGTACTTTGGTATATGATATTTGAAATGACAGAGGAAGAACTGGGCAAAGATGCATGTAAGAGAGAATGGAGAGCAGATTCAGGGTGACCCAGCCTTAGCAAGAAACCAGCATACTGCCTAACTTTCCTACCCTGGCTTAGCAAAACAGCAGATTTGAGCCCAAGAGAGGTAGCCCCCCTCAGATTTTTGAAGCTAGCCATCTTCCTAGGTTGCAGCTCCGGCACTTTCTTTTAAAAGTGGTGAGAATCAAGTCCCAGCTGGAGTTTTCTTCACCCAAACAGAACAGAAGCCATCTGCCTCCCTCCAGGTCAGGGTCCACCCATCGTGACAGGGCTGCACAGTGGGCTCAAAAAAGCAGGGGCCACACACACTTTCCATCACAGTCCTCACATGGCCAGAGGGGGCACTGTAGGTTCCAAACCTGCCCAGCTCTCTCATAGTCGGTTGCACTTGTATGATAATTAATCTTTACACACCCTGGGAGGCAGAGAGGAACAGAATTACCCATTCTACAAGTGGAGAGGTTGAGCCACGGAAAAAGACAAACTTGGGGGCTGGCCCGTGGCTCACTTGGGAGAGTGTGGTGCTGATAACACCAAGGCCACAGGTTCAGATCCCTATGTAGGGATAGCCAGTCGGCTCACTTGGGAGAGCGTGGTGCTGACAACAACAAGTCAAGTGTTACGATCCCCTTACCAGTCAAAAAAAAAAAAAAAAAAGACAAACTTGGATAAGGAAAAAGATGCCTTCAGGTTTTTAAAAATAATGATTTTAATGTTTTGTTGTTGTACTGATTACAAAAGTAATACATAGACCTCGTGGACATTTTTTACAATGAGTATAAACAAAAAGAAGAAAATTTAAACCAGCCTATCTTCAAATACAATTGAAACTTCTTAACTGATGACTACCTGACTGACTAACCAAATTAATCCATGATGTTCACTGTTCTCTCTGTAAAACACACTGAGAGGTGCCCACAGCATGTTGACTCCTGTGGCTCGTAAGCCATTCTCAGGATGCCTGCACACATTTACCCTAGTTCAGGGAGATGGAGCTTACCAAGAATCAGTTCCTGGCACCCTAACCTTTTCTTCCCAGTTATACTTGCTTTCGTATTACATAAATCAACAGAATGATACAAAAACTGATGAAATACAAATATGAAAAGAAAGAATTGTTTCTATGAATACTATATTTAATAGTTTTCATAGAACCAGTTAAAAAGAAATGATGGACTAGATGCAAGCAAATGGCGAATAAAAAACAATTGTCAAACTAGATATGAGTAGCTATAAGAGACTGGAGGGAAGTTGTAGAACTAGAGAATTATCCAATCAAGCAGCTTCACAAGTATCTTTAGGTTCTAGCACTGTTGTTAAAAACAAACACACAGACACACAAACCTCACCAACCTGCAAATCTTATATGGCACATTACAGATGTCTTTTCTCTATAAAAACAAGACAAAAACTCTGAACTCTAATCAGAAGATCGATACACAAAACAAAGATCACAGCTCTACATCAAAATTGATAAATAAATGAACATTCATCTTAAGTTATAATAACATGTTTTACGTATGAATGTGTCATTTGATGGCAAATCAACTTTTCAACTTAAACCATCAACTCCCAGAGGGCAGGATTTAGAACACTAGGTTAAACTTCTAACTTAGCATTTCTCAAAATGTTATCCACATTCCGCTGACATCCAAACCATCTAGAGTATTTACTATAAGCACAGATTTCAGTCATACCCTATACTTCCTAAATCATACTCTTTGAGAGGGGTTTGCATTTTAACATGCTGCCTAGGAGATTCTGATGCATGTTAGAAGCTCTGTGTCAGGAACATAGGACAAGGACTGAATATATATTTCTTATTGTATCAGGCATGGTACAGTGGAGAGCAGGGGTCTATTAGAATAACTTTGGGTTTAATATAAAAGAACAGTTGCTGACAACAGTGCCCCAGGTGGGCATGGTCTAGAAATTTCAAGCAAAGGCTGATGGTTGGTCTGGATTGCTAGAGAAGATTCCAGAATTTGGTAGGAGGTTGAATTTCATTTGATTTATGCTTGAGTTAGAGACTTTTTTTCTTTTTTTTTTTTTAATAAACACACTTGTTTTTAGTTTAGAAACCAACATTTTAGACCAATTATTTTCTTATTTTTCTTAGATTCTTAGAAAGTTCTAGAAAATTACATAAGAGGGTTAATGAGCAAGTATTAGTTTTTATGCACAAATCACAGCCAAACAGTAATTTAAAAGACAATTTGACCACTTTTCCATGCATTCTGTCTTCTCACAGTTGCTGAACCAGGCAGCAGAGTGGAAACTTCAGGCGAAAGTGCTGAAAGAACAAGAGACAGTCCTGCAGGCTCAGGTGAAGTGGGGACAACGACGTGGGGGGTGCTCCCCTTGCTCCTCCCAAGTAAAGAGGCCGGGGGCCAACAGTAGTCTGCAGAAAGCCTTTTATGTGGCAGGGGACAGGGGACAGGATTTAGACATGAAGAACAGCTTCATATTTATTATTTTCAAGCAAAAACAAAAGCACAATATTACATCCACAAAAAAGAAATGCTCTGCGCCCACAACGTCCCCTCAAAAGGTTTGTTGACAGATAAATGGCAGCACCAATGTGATCAGTCAGAGTAAGCTCCTGTCTGGATTTCCATCTGTCTGTTCACGTTTCCTCTCTCTCTCCTCCCCCATCACCCTATCAAGGGAAGAAGAAAGTGTAAACTGCTCAGATGCACATCTATGACTAGCCACTCTTAAAATGTCCTCTTTTTTTTTTTTTTTTTTAAAGATGACCGGTAAGGGGATCTCAGCCCTTGACTTGGCGTTGTCAGCACCACGCTCTCCCAAGTGAGCTAACCGGCCATCCCTATATAGGGATCCGAACCCGTGGCCTTGGTGTTGTCAGCACTACACTCTCCCGAGTGAGCCACAAGCTGGCCCTTGTCCTCACTCTTTGACGTTATTTATAATAAAAAGAAAGTGAGGGGGTGGTCGGCGCCCAGGTTTCTGTGCTGTCAGAGGGTGGCCTTGTCAGTGGTGGGTGTCTAAGGGTCGCAAGCAAGTCAGGAACCACTGTGATTTGGCTCCGTGATGCCATTTGTGAATTTTGATTAGACTACTGGAATTCCCGTTTCAGACTCGAACAACAAAAATGAATCTTCATGCCATAGCTGACTCTGGGGGAAAACCTGACCTATCCATCTTCCCTGTGCCCTTAGGGACGCCACAGGGCACACAGGGCTCTAGCTCCACTGCCAGGGGAAATGCCCAAGCGCTCAAGGGACTGTGAGATCACATATAGCAAATTCACAGGAAGTGAGGAAATCACAAGCCTTCCAAGTTGGGCAGCATTAGTTTAAGATTTGTAAGTGTTTATGTGCTGACTACTTGTTCATTGTGAAAAAAAAATACTTGTTCATTATATGAATGAACAAGTTCCATGAATACTTGTTCATTATAAGAGAAAAAAAGCAAACAAGAAAATTTAAATCACAAATTATACCACTGCGTAGACAAAAGCACAGATAACATTTTCATATCTAGCCTTGTTAAAGCACACTTCTGCAATGTGTGTATAAAATGCGACAGTAAATTGTTTTCCCCAGTATGATCTATTCTCTGATAATAGTTTTAAAATACCGATTACATAGAGGTTGGAAACAGTGTTTCTGACTATTAATAGAACCAAGGGGCCCAGAATTACAAACTCAAGGTCTTCCCTGAAGCAGCCACAGAACCCATCACATCATGGTGTGGGGTGGGGACAAGGCCCTGGCAGCTCTCCAGCCAGGAGGCAGGCAGGGGAAAGGAAGGGTGGAGGCTTCACTGTCTGGGGTGGAGGAGCCCAGAGAATCAAGCCAGGGCTTCTGACTCCATCTCTGCCCCATTAACAACACAGAGCCTTGAGGGGAAAAACGGACAGTACTTGAAGCTGCGCATTGTTCACATCATCTGTGCCTGCAATCTCTACTCCTCTACACTAAATGAACATAACAAACTTGAGAGTAGATTCACATTGTTAAACTCTGGACTAGAAAGTGATTCATTCAGCTTGCATCAGAATCTAGGCCTTTAATGACCTGTGAAATAAAAATATGAAGGTGTGATCCAATTTCCACCTGTAACCCCTCAAATTTGAAAAAGCATCTAGGAAGGGTAATGAATTTGCCATCATTCCTCATTCATTCCTCAGTCCTGGACTGAGTTCAGGCACCGGGATCACACAGCTTCTCAGGGTCACACAGCTTTTCCACTGAGAAGCTGTGTGACCCTGTGCAACTCACCTAAGCCTCTCTGGACCTAAATTTCCTTGTCTGTAAAATGAAGATGCTTTAATGAATTAATGATCCCAAGCTGGAGTCCTCCAACCTCCGGGAGACCCATTACTTTTCAGTGTTTCCAAAACAATAGCACGTAAGGCAGCAGCTGCTATCTAAAATGTAGTTATTTCTGATATGATGCCAGCTTTTAGTCAGCAACTGTGGATGGCAATTATTCATGTGTTTAAGTTTTCAAAAGAAAAACGAGTTAACGAATAAGTAATATATGCAGTTTGTTTTCAAGTTATGTATGCAAAGCACTTAGCTCAGCGTCTGGCCCATAATAAGCACAATTAATTCAACCAACATTTATTGAGTACCAACTAAGTCTAGGCATGGTTCTAGTGTTGGAGAAACAGTAATCAATAAGACAGAGAAAAATCCCTGCCTAATTGAACTCCTAATCTAGTGATAACCACGATGTTAATGAAAGTGCTATTAATTAGTGTTTGAGCTAGTATTTATATTATTTCATAGGTGAGGATCCATATAAGGAAATACGAGACAAAGACAGTCTTCAGTTGCAAAACAGTTGAAGAATCACTGGAAAAGATGATCTTAAGACCCTGTTCAGGTCTAGTTCATAAACTTAAAGAACCTCCAGACCTCAGGAAGGGTGGCCCCACACTAAGGTACCCCTGCCTCTTCCTGCACTGTCAACAGTATTCAACAGTGCAGGGGCCTCACTAGTTATGAGGATCCTCCTTTGTCTTTCTCTTTTGTCTCTAAGGCACTTTCAAAACTTTAATAATTACTTATTCATCAAGAAGAAAATAGAGGCCCCCAACCCCTATGTGTAACAATGTCTAAACAAGTTCCTCATGAAAAGTATCAACTTTATATTTTAAAAACTTTTAAATATTGACAAACAAATTCTATCACGGGTTATTTTGCATGGCACTCAAACACTTCTTTTGGTTTTACATAGTCTTTAAAGGGGTAAGAGTGGCAGGAGTCGAAGGCCTTCGTCCCCATTTCTAAGATCTGAGCAAAAGAAATATCAAGGACGGATTACATGTTTTCCTAGACTGAACTTACTTTTCAGTCATAAGACAACAGCTTGCCAGCTGGGGGCATATTTCTCACTTAGGGAAGAGATTGTCTGGTTTTCAGTATACAAACTGAGGCAATAGAGTAAATGTCAGAGGTGATCAATGGGATGCAATTGTCACTACAAATAGTGTTTGTTGGATCAATAAGGATGAAGACAGTAGTAGACGTGGGAAGTCAGCAGTATCTGACAACTCTGACACAAAATATCGCCTAAGGGGAAAGATCAGTGAGTAAATTGTTAAAAAAAAGTGTAATCGAAGTTTTTAAAATCAGAAATCTTCACCATATCTGTATAGAACAAGAGGACAGCGTCCTCTGTGGCTACTCTTGCAACAGGACTTGCTCCCAAACCAGATCTCACAGGTCTGCTAAGACAATTCCTGGACACAGTTCTGTTTCCTATACTCTACGAATGTTTGTAATTAAAATTCAGTACTCAGTTAAAAGAATGTGTCGTCTGTTGGCCCATTTAAAAGTGAAATATTGAGGCAATTATTGTTATTTCTAACCACAGAATAGTTTGTTTCTATTTCTGCCTCTGGTAGGAGAAATACTGCACACGACCTCTGGATGTCTCGCCCTTGCTTCTTGAAATGCCAAAGTGAGAATGGGGATATGACACTGGAAACCAAACATGCACCATGTCAGCATATAACAGTGACAGTGAAAATACTACCAAACTTATATCAAGTCAACAGGAAGTAAAAATTGTAGTTAATATAAGAAGAGAGTGTTCAAGTAAGCTTTCTCAGAAATGTATAATCCACACAGATTTGCCATCTATGACAATGAAGTTAAATAGGAAGAAAAACAGGATATTAAAGACTGGTCACTAGACAGAGGGAATGAGAAGTAGTTGTTTAATGGGTATCGAGATTTTGTTTTGTAAGATGAAAAAGTTCTGGAGATTGGTTGTACAACAATGTGAGCATACTTAACAATACTGGACTGTACACTTAAAAATGGTTAGGATGGTAAATTTTATGTTATGTGCATTTTACCACAATTTAGACATTTTTTAAAAGTTGACGGAAAACAAACAAACAAAAAAAAAACAGTCACTAGAAAAAGCCCAGAAGAGGTGGTGATGAACAAGACACATTTCTTGGAACTTTAGGTGTGTCTTGTCTTCTCCAGGCCATAAGCCAGCAACAAGAAAACATGGGAAAGGGAAATAAAATCTGCCCAATTAATACACCAAAACGAACATTCTGCTTTTTCTTAGTCTTTACTTTGAGACATGATGGAAAAGTCCTACAGGTGCACGAGGAGAAGTAAGACATGATCATAGTTGAGGGGAGACAGTCTAACCAGAATGCTTTTGGCCAGTCAGGTAATGTGGACGCTGAAGTGCCCGGGGTGGTGGTTCTGCTGAGGCAGTCAAGGGTCACCTGTGGAACGGCCCTGCATGTGCTCTCTCCTGCCCCCGCCTGTCTACAGCCTGCAACTACAGGGGCTTAGCCAAGAATATAAACCAACAGATTTTGTGATAGAAGGTGGTGGCCAGGAAGTAGTTGTTCCCACCCTAGGCCAGTGGATAATGCCCAACGTAGGTAGCTGGTCCCACAAGAGTTCACCCTAGAGTAAAGTGTCTCAAACGAAGTGGCTTAACCCATTCATGGGCCCTGAAATCAATTCCGCGGACCGCCACCAGTATTTTGAAAAAAATGAAACTCAGTTGAATAGACTATGTCAGAGTACCTTGCATATGATAAGAGTAAATATTGTCTTATGTATTGTGTGTGTGTGTGTGTGTGTGTGTGCGTGTGTTTAAAACCCTAGGGCACCTGCCAGGCTTATGGGCATCAAGGAATTTGTGCCTGGCCATAAATTTCTTGATGCCCCTTTACTCAGTCTTTTTTTACTCTGTATGCCAAGGAATCACGAGAAATAAATTTTAGTTGTGTCATACTCACGGCGCTAATGAATTATTTCAAAATGACGGCCAGCTGTTGTTTGACTTGTCTTGGGATAAACTATATTCTATGGAAAAAAATTTATGTTACCATTTTCTTACTGTTGTTTACTGCAGTAAAGCCTCTACTATTCAGAATTATGTGGGAATAAACCATTCTGAATAAGCACTTTCCTGGGCTCTAAGGGTTGTTTGATTCACACACTCCCTCTCACACCGACTCCCTAAACCTGGTAATCCAGTCTGGCTTTTAGTCTGGGTGCTCTTCTCTACTTAAAAAGGACAGTCCCACAGATATCACTTGCTGGTCAGTGGTGCCTTCCGATAATCCAGCCATCCCAGTCTACCAAGTGCAGCTGTGGGTTCTTGTGTGTTGCTGGATCCTGCAAGTCTGCTTCTTCACACTCACAAAAACACTTTTGTGTTAATTTGAGGACTTGGGACTGTTCTAGACACTGAAGAGTACCAAAAACTCATTTGAAAATAGAGGCTTTACTAATTTGAATCTTCCATACTAATTCCCCACTCACTCAAAACATGCTCTCCTAATATTATTTTCAAAGGCAAGATTTTATTATTTTATTACTGTTTCCTTCTCTGTACTGCCCCATTCCCACCCCAAATGCAAGCCTTGGAATTAACACAGCAGAGATACAAAGACTCTTCTCTATATCCCTGTGGTAAGCCATGCACTTGGCAATGCTAACCCATGAGATGTCTTTGTGCAAATTAGAAAAAGGCATCCCTTCCTCAAGGCCCATTACTTCCATCCATAGAAAATTGGTGGAGTATATTGATTATGGTGAAAAGGGACACTGCATTCCTATTGACTAGAACATTGTATTGATAAATATAGAAAACGATGATGTCTAGGGCCAGCCCGGTGGCGCACTGGAGAGACCGGTTCCCGCTCACTGGCTGAGCGTGGTGCGGGCGCAACACCGAGGGTTGCGATCCCGTTGCCGGTCCCCGGTACATGTGTGACACCGAGGGTTGCGATCCCGTTACCGGTCAGTAAAAAAAAAAGACAAAAAGGGAAAAAAAGAAAACGATGATGTCTAAAACAGAGTGGCACTTGCTTAAAGTGGTGCACAACCTGCATAATGGCAGCGGCCCTTACACATGTCCAGCCCACATTTCCTTTATTGCTTCTTTTCATTTGTCTACATTCTCCCTCCCTTCAAGAACAAGTTCAAGGCTCACCTCTCCACACACATGTGGCTCGCATGATCCCTTTCCATGCTCATGTTCTCTGATCACCCACTACACTTGACTGACTTGGCACTTTATATTCACTTCCCTGTAGTCAAGTTGTCTTTGAGATTGTCTTCTCATTGGGAGTGCAAGTCCCTCAAAAGCAGGATCCGCATGTTAAACACTCTGTACATACCATCCATGCATATGTTCAGTTCTCAATAAATGTGTGTTGGTAAATGTTATGATACAATGAAATGGTGATGACATATTTATTTCATTCTTTTCAAAAGAAACACCTCAATCCTGCTCAGTGACCTAGGTTGATCTTGTAGTAAACAAAATAACTGAACATATTGCTAACACTGTATTGAGAATTCCTTAAAATCATTTTTCTTCTCAAATAACAAACAATGACATGCTGTTTTGTTCTGGAGGCATTCTGAAAGCAGCCCTAAAATGGATCCATTATTTCTCCTATTTACAGCTTACTCTCTACTCAGGAAGGTTTGAAGAATTCCAGAGTACACTGACAAAAAGCAACGAGGTGTTTGCCACTTTCAAACAGGAAATGGATAAGGTGAGTATCGCCTGTCACCCTCGAAATATTCACATTTTCTATTTTGACAGACAGTTCTCCTTTTGGCTCATTTTTTCTCTCACTAAGATATGTCAATGTATTTCATGAAGTAATGAAATATTTATAGGTATGATGAGGCTTTTTTTATTGGTAAGTTTCTAGTGAATTAATCTTAGCAAGAATCCAAAAACCCTAGGATACATTTTCACTCTGAAGAAGAATAATTCTCTTTCTACTCCATGGATATCTTTAAAAAAAAAAAAAAAAAAAAAAAAACAAGAGCTAGCAATGTAACATTATGTTGTACATACTGAAGTAAAAAAAATCTAATCTCTTAAAGACAAAAAAAAACTTTTATACAAATATGCAAAAGTAGAATGTTAGAGTAGAAAATACCATTTTATAGGATCCTTCTTTAAAGGGAAGGTATGTAATACGATATAACTGACTTAGCCTGAATGAGAAGATGGAAGCCTGAACTTAGTGTGCTGTTACTCACCAAGTAGTGTTGGACAATTCACTTAACTTCCCTGAGTTTTACTTTTCTTATCTACACATTGAGATATTACTACCCTTGCCTACATTATAAGATTGTGAAGTTCAAATAAATTAATGTATTTTAAAAGGGTTTTAAACTTTTTAAGTCTTTTACGAATAAGGTACTAATATTATTATTTGATGTAATGTTTAAATCATGTTCAGTTCAGTGTTTCCTCAATACAAAATCAGCACAGAATTGTGTTTCTAAACAGGCATTGGCATTGACTATTTTTAAGTGTAGAAAGCATCCTTTTAAAAATATTTTCATAAAATATCATAAATTTCACAATTAAGTAAGCAAACTTAGATCAACACTTATCAGTTTACAGTTTTCCTTCTCCAGGATGGATCTATTCATTTAAAAAAATTTTTTTTTTTTTTACCAGTCCGGTACGGGGGCAATACTGAGGGTTGCGATCCGTTGCTGGACACGGAAAAAAACAAAAAAAAAAAAAAAAAAATTTTTTTTTTAATTCTAGAGGTTTAACATTGGAATAGGTATTAGAACAGAAAAAAATGTTTTAATTTCAAAATTACATAGTTTTAAGGTTAGAATAAATATGAAACCAAGGGTTCTCAATCTGGTATCCATTTATGGACTTTAGTAGTTGACCTGAGAATTCCATAGAAATTAGCAAAAAAAAAAAAAGATGTGCATCTTTGCATTTCTCTGAAGTGTGGTCCCATAGATTTCATCAAATTCTTAAAGGGGTTGATGACTTTAAAAATTTATAAACTACTAACTTGATTAATATATGATCAAAATAAGAAACCCAGCTTCTCTATAGAACTGGGGGCTGACAGTCTGGGCCCAGCCTCTGGACTCTATGGGTACCCAGCCTCAGGCAGTGTGACACCAAGCAGTGAGTGCCCAACTATGGTTCATCCAGGAACATGGTTACATGCCTTGTCCTTCACTTCATCCAAGCAGAGGGGAGACACTATGACCAAGAACATGAGTAGTTTCAGGTGTGAAAAAGACAAGCTACTTTTTATTCTCTTCACACCCAGCCACACCCAGCCCAGGGCCTGACAACAAGCAGACACTCTGCACATGTTGCATTAAATGGAATCAAATAGCTTCAGTGCCACTCTTCTGTTAACTTGCCTAAATATTATTCCACCTCTCTGAGTCTCAGTTTCTCCATTTTTAAAGTGGGGTTGAAAATAGAACCTTCTTCGTGGGACTGTTTCCAGGATGAAATGAATAATACGTGTAATTGCATTTTGTGAATCATTTTCTCCTTTGAGAAAATAGAAAGCTACTTTTGTGTGGCTACTTCTCACATGTGCCCAGTTATTATCAACATTTTAATGGCAAAAAAGCTATACCGGCTTTCTCACTGTAATAGTGTTCTATTCAATAAAGTAAATAACGTAAATCACAAGCTTATTCATGAGACTCAATATAGATATTCTTATTTTAAATGAAAGAAAACGCAACAATGAAACAGTGTGCCCCTACGTAGTTTCTTTTTTTCTGAATTGGCTCAGGTGCAAATAAGTTAGCTCACCATTGACCTAGATGGTGCAGAAATAAATCATGACCCTCCTGCAATCTTCATTCTTGACATTGAACATTTGTTTGCTTCCGCAGCTGGTAACAAAAGGACTTCCCTTGATATCACACATGGAACTAATAGCTTCCTTGAAATATTAACTCTTCAGGATTAACACTAAAACACTCTAATTTCTGTAGACAACCAAGAAAATGAAGAAGCTGGAAAAGGACACAGCCATGTGGAAAGCCCGATTTGAGAACTGTAACAAAGCTCTGTTGGACATGATCGAAGAGGTGAGGAAGTTTTTCCCTTAGCTTTTATCCCCTGTGTCTAGTCAAAATATTCATACTTAGAAAATACTTTATAACCTAATAATAGTACATATGATTATGTTTGAAAAAGAGCTGAGTTTGGGGGGAATGTGACATATTAAATTGTAAGAAACATAATAAGAGCAAAGGTCATTTAGAGTCAGGTCCAGGACTCATAAAGAGCTTTGTGACACCAACTCACGTGCTTATTTGTTGATTCAATAGCTATCCCAAGAGCAGCACCAGCCTACTAGACTATGAATTCCCTAAAGGCAGAATGATGCCTTACTTTCTTTGAATTTCCCCCATGCCTGGTACATAACAGGTACAGAAAAATTAACTGATTTGAATATACTGGGAGAAGACATCAACCCAAGCACTCAGGGTATGTGCTATTTTGCAGACAGATGTGGAGATACATTCTTTTAATTCCTCCAACGGGCATTAAATGTTGATATTATGTCAGGTTCTGAGTAGGTTTTGAGGCTCTAAAGGCAAAGATACATGGCCCCTGATCAGAGAGTCAGGGCTTACAGGTGGAGGTCTCTCTACAAATACAAGTGGGGAAAAAAAGGTCTTAAAAGTAAAGAGTAGCTCAAGGATAAGCGTGAAGGAGTGAGATGACTGGGAACACAAACATACCTACATTCCAAACAAAAGAAGAAATGAACAGTTTGAGCAGCCAGCATCATGAATTAGTGTGTAGTAAGTACCTATGGTTATAATTACTGTTCTAACAATTCATCTCAAATTGCAACCAATTCCAAAGAGATATGCTTATTACTCATCAACATAAATCAAATGGTTGCTGGGATTAGCATACAACAGTTTATCCATAGAATGGATAAGGCATGCTGAGGGCCAAGTTCCAGCCATCTCACTCGTTTCGCCCCAAGCTTTTGCTTCCACCTTCTAAGTCTTAGAAGCAGAAAATCCATCTACCTTAAGATTTGAGAGGCTTTGGATTAATGCAGAAGGAAGCCTTGCCATTTTTCTTTCCCTAAGAACAGGTGATGGTGATTTAAATTTTACAAAAAAAAAAAAAAAAGGGATGTCCCTTACCAGGTAGCTGTTCAGCCACCACTCTGCAGCCAGGCCCCAGAGCTGAGTAGACAAATTCCAGGACAAAAGGTCTTGCTTATCTCCAGAGAGCATCATGTCATTTTACATGTGTATATGTTTTCAAATCACAGAAAGCACTGAGAGCAAAAGAATATGAGTGCTTCGTGTTGAAAATTGGGAGGCTAGAGAACCTTTGTCGTGCTTTACAAGAAGAAAGAAACGAACTCTACAAAAAAATCAGAGAAGTGAAAATGCCGGAAAAGGATGACCCAAGTGAGCACACCTCGGATGAAGAGCCAGAGTCAAATGTCTGTATGGATAAAGAGATGGATGCAGAGGAGGTCAACAGTGTTCAAAACGCTGTGAAAAATCTGACCACGGCCTTCATGGTAATGCATCATCCAGAACCAACCCTCAACCAGTCCAAAGAAATCCAACCAGAAGTTGGCAGTCCTCATGGGAGCAGTGACTGCCCCCTCAAGGAGCCGGAGCAACCCCCTCTGATTCCTTCAGGGGATTCAGAGAGTCCCCTGCCTCCCCCAACTCCTCAGGCAGAGGCCGAAGGAGGCAATGATGCAGAACTGCCCTCCAAAGCCAATAATCCCCCTGCCGGGGGAGCAGAAGCCCAGGGTCTCCTCACTGGAGCAGGCACTGGTCAGCAGCCCCAGAAGCCAGAGGCAGAAGCTTCTGATCAGGCCCCACAGTCCTGGGCCGAGGCATCCCTAGCGGGGATGGAGGCAAATGGCCCCGCTCCACCATGCCTAGCAAGTGAGCAAGTTCCAGCTAGGGTGCCTGGATGTGAGCCCAGGAGGCAGCCCCCACCAGCAGCAGCAGAGGAGCTGCCAACAGGGGCCGTAGCAGGGGCCTCGGCTGGGCCCCAGCAGCCCAAAGTGGCCAACACCAATCTGGAAGGAGTCGACTAAACCTCATCATGCCGTCCTGACTTTGCATCTTCCTCACAAGAGATTCTCTTCTGAAAGAGGCATTAAGGGCTAGGGATGTCAAATGGAAGAGAATTAGGATCAAGGCACATTCAGGCTTTGCTGTGTGTTCTCCATTTATAACCGATGTGAAGCTTTCTACTTAACCACTGGTTGATAGTATAATTTTCCCAAAAGGCAACAAAACAGACCAGTGACAAATTTATATTACTTTTCCATTAAGATGGTACTTAATTCAGTTTCTTAATCAACAGTAAGATTTGGTGTTTTAAGACTTCCACCATGATATATGAATACTGAAATGTGATGTTCTGTTTATTTCCACATATAATTTAATAAGTTCCATAGTAATTAATGGATTCCGGATTCCCTTTAAACAGTACATATACATAATATATACATATGTGTATATATACATCTCTATAGGTGTGTGAATATATACATGTCTGTATACATATATGTGTGTATATATACATTATGTGTATATTATGTATATATTTATACATATACATATGTATATATTTATACATATACATATGTATATATTTATACATGTACATTTGTATAAACGTACACATTACACATGCATTTTTTCACCCCTTTATAGGTTCTCTCTATGCAAAATATTTACATGCTAACCAAAAACTTCTCTCTTACTTGTACTTAGGACTACAGTAGGCTAATGCTCTATGAATCAGAAGCAGGCTCAGAACAGAAATATTTAGGCCATAATTATGTTGGGCAAAAATAAGTAACCCAGTGGTAGATCAATAAATTCAACCAATTGATCACATGACAGAATAGCAGTTGGGTTAGACTGCAAATCTGTGCAGAGAGCATGGACACTAAGATGGCCACAGGAGGCCCTAAACAGAAAAGGGAAACAATTGGAGTTGTAGACAGCTCACCTCTTCTAGCTGCTTCTCTCACAGTCCTCAGCCCATTGCCTTGCAGCCCCCTCACGTGATGAGACAGCCCACTCCTGGCTGCCTGCAAAGGGATGAAAGTGAGAAATGGTCTAGGGATTGAGGGGATGAGGGACATCAGACTAAGAAGAGGCTATGTCTCGGTCCCCTGCCTCATGTGCTACTGATGTCTCAAGACAGAATATTCACCTCCTGCTGTCACTGATCCAGTCTGTATTCTCAGAGCATCTGCTCCTTCTTCCAAACTCCTTCCTTTGCAGCTGGAAATTACGCCCAGCCCTCGTTTCAATTAATGCTAAATAATACTATTATTTTTCCAAAACAGAAATCCACACAGGGTCTCAATATGAGTAATGAGGCTTATAAACCAACACATTTTTTGCTTTGGGGATTTTTCTACAGGCCAGAAGTACAAAGCAAAGAACAAATGGGTCCCTACTTGAAATGATTTGAAAAATAGGTGAGGATTCAGGAAAAGGCAAAAGCTACAAACACCTGGGGTTGTCTATGTCAGTATTGTACTATCATTGCTTGACAAAAACCTCCAGTAATACTGACAGTGTAAATTACTCTACCTAGGGTAAAGAAGACTGCAACAACGCAATAGCAAGGAAGAGAGGGAAGGCGGAGAATGAAAGAGAAGGAAGCGGGGGAAAGAAAGGAAAGAAAAAATGTCTAACCCAACATTGAACTCAAGTAGAAAAATGGTAAAAGCCATATTCTCTACTTATCCTTCATTCTTCAATGTTGCCTGTGGCTGTTTGCCAAGGCACACAAAGTGCTTGTAGGCAGCAACCATATGCTTCAGGAATTGTAAACTGCATACAAATTGTTTGAAGTAGACAGTGAGGGTAATGACAAAAAATGCTAGTCAAAGAAAAAAATCAGAGAAAAAAATATCACTATTTGAGAACCGTGTCTTTTAAACGGCTTAAAATATTATAGCCATAGGATATCCAGCCAAATTCAACATTACCGAAAGCCTTAGTGATTTAAACAATCATTTAATTCAGAGCCAAACGTTCACCATATCAGTCTAGGAGAGTTTCCTTTCCCACTATTCACAGAGGCTGAACTTCCAAGAATGGAGGAAGATTAGATAATCATAGTAAAATATCAGTCTGAATGTTTAGCAAGAGAAAGGGGCAGGAGATGAGCCAAAATCCAGTAAATCCAATATTCTAACACCCAAAGTTCACTATTTTCATCCAAAAGGCTGTCATAGCAACACATTACTCACTATCTTGTATATCTTGGTCAGAGTTTCAGAAACAATAACTTGCCTGAAATTTGTAAAGCTTAATATAGGCTTTGGGAGAATTATTTTAATATCGAAAGAATGTTTGATTATAGTCCTTTTTGTTAGAATTTGGCCTTTCTAATTACAACAATAACTCATAAGACCTGAAAGCAAAAGCAATTTCTGTTCTTTACCACGCTTATATAACTACTTTTGGAGATGCCAAGTCTACTTTCTAGAAACGCTGGAGTCATTACAGTTTTCTAAATTAAATAACTATAATTTATATATCTATTAAAAAGGCACTTCTCTTCCCAACTTCTCTACTAGTGGTTTTATCTCTTTTTGTTGTTGTTGTTACTTCTATATTTCAACAATACCGAACAAAAATTACGGTTTTATTCTATTGTTGATTGAATTTCTGGTCTCTGAGTAGAATGCACATGGAATCAACACTTTGAAAATATCAGGGTGTGTGTGTGTTTTGAGAGAGAGGGAGAGAGAAAGAGGGGAGAGAGAACATAACAATGAGGCTACAGTCAAAAAAGCCACCAAGGCCTACAAGAGGCAAGAGCTAGAAACAATGCCCAGGGTTAATGAGAGAACAAAACCCAGACTCCTCTGCCTGGCCATCCAGCTGCTGGCGAATAATTCTCACATGGCCAGTATATTTCCCTTAAGGACCAGTCTCCCATGAGAGCATGTTTCCACAGCTTTCTCTGCCATGAATCTTCTCAGAAATACTCTGAGGAATAAGGGGGAGCATGCGGAAGGAAGGAGCTCTTTTTACCTCTCTCCAGTTCTTCTGATTGCTCCAAGAGTTTCTGCTAACAAGAGTGGAAGAGGCCCAGTTCTGCTTTTTGATTATTCTCTTTTCTCAGTCCACATTGATCTGGGAGAGGCTTCTCAAACATGATATTTCCTAGTGTGCTTTGAGGGGAGGATTGCTTAGCTAACATGGGAAAAATAGGTTAAACCCTGCCCTTAAGGCTGTTTTTACTCCTTTTTGCCTGGTATGGATACACATGTTTTAAATAGCCCACCCCTTTTTTTTGAGATTATAAATAATATTTGTTCATTGCAAAACCAAGACTAATTTTCAATAAGACTAACAAGGAACAGAAAAGAGAGATTGTTTCAGGAAAATTTCCTCAGCCTGTTCTTCTCTAACCAGTAGTTAAATCCAGTATTTAGGAAAAATAAAATAACTTAAAAATGTAAAGAATTTGCTAAAGAAAGTTATAAAATAAAAATGATGATTCTGGCCTCTAAAGTCTGTTCCCATCACAAATAGGCAAGGATGGCAAGTAGTATGTAAGAGATAAATTTTCACAAGATTTAAATAATTTTCATTTCTGCACTTTAGAACCTCAAAATTAAAGTGCCCATGAGGGCAGTCCATTAGAACAGAAGTTTTCATGCGACAGTAATGAAGATTTTTCTTGACCTTATTGAGTTGTATCCTCAATACCTGAAGTTAAGTCTCTTTGGTGGTACATATGCATCTCCTGATAGAAGTTCTACAAATGCTAGTTGCTGTTCTATGTACATATGAATGCACACACACACACACACACACACACACACACACACACACACACACACACACACACACACACACACACACACACACACACACACACACACACACACACACACACACACACACACACACACACACACACACACACACACACACACAGACATGCACATAAATACACATGTATAAAATTGGACCTAGGTTTAATTCTATTTCTGTAAGTGAGTCTTTACACCAGATTTTCAAAGGATACTTAGCATTATCTTTCTTGACAAGGATAACTGTAAAAACAAAATCGTTTCCCATGTGAATAATGATAGTTAATAGAGACATTTAACCAGCAAAATAGAACTAGAAATTCATTGATTAGTGGCACAAAATTTATTCTCAGAAGCTGTTTCACTTTACCAAGTGATAACAAAAGGAATAAATCACTTCAATAGCACATCAAGCTTGGCTAAATCCAAGTGCAAGTCCTTCTTTTTGCTGGAATTTAGAGCTCAAGATTTCTATTAATGCCAACATTTATCCCACTTTAACGTTGAAGTTTTTGATTACCTTATGTCATACCTAAAACTTACCTACATGTAAAACTTATTACTTCAGAAATGACAGCCAGTCGATGACATTTTATGACAAATAACACAGAAACCACCATAAAATCCAAGTAAGAAGATACTATGTTAAGAGAGGGAAAGGAAGAGGGGAAAAAAGACTTTCAATTTGATGGCTATTATATAAAAGGAATAATTAAAAGGTAAAGCCTTAAGATTATTAAGAACAGTGAAAGGAAAAGGCACATAAATTGGCGGACTCTTTTGAGAAAGCAGAATGGCAATAAAGAGCGAGATCCATAATGACATTAATAAACTTTAACACAATAACTCCAACCTGGATAATTTTTACAAATATGTTTTGGTATTGCTGCTTCATTGTCTTTTTTCTTGTCTGCCTTTCTAGACTCTTTTGAGAAAGCAGAATGGCAATAAAGAGCGAGATCCATAATGACATTAATAAACTTTAACACAATAACTCCAACCTGGGTAATTTTTACAAATATGTTTTGGTATTGCTGCTTCATTGTCTTTTTTCTTGTCTGCCTTTCTTTTAAAAAAATAAATGCATTATTTTCTGTATAAAAATAATAAAATTACATTATAAAACATTTAGGAAATAGAGTTGAGAAAACTACCCATAATTTCGTCACTCTAATTTAAGCAGTCAGCATTCATTATATCATAGTATATTTTAAATGCTCTAAATGTCTTTTTCAATT